GAATCGTCAATTTCGTAACAATTTTTAATATATAAAAAAACTTGACACCTAAGGTAAGCCCAGTAAAAAATTATTATTGCACTAAACATTTTAGATAAAAAACGGGACTGAATCGTGACAGAAGATATACTACGATGTTTTCAAAAAACTGTCGGTCTGACCCAAAATTTGCTATTTTCCAGTGCTGATTATGGCCTTGAAGACGAACTTTGACGAGGAACTACTACGGTTTTTTTTTTTAAACACTGAACAATTTGCAACAAAACTTTACCTGTTTAACGTCTTACATGTGAGCAATATACGACATAAAGATTTTACTAGTTTGTATGATAAACGACTGTTTAATGTTTCACATGTGGCCATATGCAACATTCATGTCTCTTTTTGTCCTGTAAGAGCTGTTTAATGTCTCATCTGTGAGCAACATAAAGGACCTGTTTCCTTGACTTCATGTGTATTGGGCATGTAGGGCTAGACCTATATTTTATAGACCAATGGGCACTCGATGGGTAAGGTGGTCACCTTCGCTTCCTAGGACTACACCTGGTACCCATTGAAGGCTGGGTTGACCTGGGAGGAAGCCGATGTCATTTTTGTTGAAGACAAGTCCGGCTCCGCCAGGACCTGAACCAATGAGCTTCCGATCCGCAGGCAAGCGTCTAGCAGCTACACCACAGCGGCTCCCGAGCAATGTAAACCATGAATATTTGACTGTCCTTTAATGTATTTAAAGAGTTGTTAAATATCTCACTTGTGGACAGTAGACAACATTAACGTTTTACTGTTTATAATCGTATTTAGAACTTTCGAATGCCTCACATGCAAGCAGTACACAACATTAACATTTTACTGTTTCTTATTTTATTTAGAGCTTTCTAATGCCTCACATGCAAGCAGTATTCAAGAATGCTTTACTGTTTCTTACTGTATTTAGAGCTTTCCAATGCCTCACATGCAAGCAGTAGTCAACATTTACATTTTACTGTTTCTTACTGTATTTGGAGCTTTCTAATGCATCACATGCAAGCAGTAGTTAACATTAACATTTTACTGTTTCTTACTGTATTTGGAGCTTTCTAATGCATCACATGCAAGCAGTAGTCAACATTAACATTTTACTGTTTCTTTTTGTATTTAGAGCTTTCTAATGCATCACATGCAAGCAGTAGTTAACATTAACATTTTACTGTTTCTTACTGTATTTAGAGCTTTCCAATGCATCACATGCAAGCAGTAGTTAACATTAACATTTCATTGTTTCTTTTTGTATTTAGAGCTTTCTAATTCCTCACATGCGAGCAGTCTATCACATTTACATTTTACTGTGTCCAGCTGTGTTTACTAACAACTGTTATGTGTCAGCGTGTAAACAATATAAAACATGAACAAAAGACTGGCTGTATTTTAAACAACTGTTTTAATGCCAAACTGTTTCATCAAATCCATCCACCAGTACACATGACAAATACAGGGCACACTGCATTTACAGAAACGAACAATACTGCAAGGACATAATCCACACATTTCAGTAAATACGTTAAATAATCTCACACTATGATTTCATGAAATACAACACACAGCCATCAAACAGACAAATTATTATTCTAAGTTGATTCAAATGTTTTACTGCAATAAAGTGCCACCATATACTGATGTGAACTTAACCAGATTTCAAATCCGATCCAGTAATTCATGTACTAAAATTAATTCTTTGTGAGTCACATATGAAAAAGATAAATTATTGCCCCTTGAATCTAATAATGTAACTGCCATTTTTTTTAATATTTTATTTTCCTTTTTGATTTGTATTCTGTAGGAATAACATCTCAAGAAGGAAATCAAACAACAACTAATCCTGGAAACTCCATTCAACTTACAGCCATATATAGCACAGTTATATTGGGGCACCACAAAATGGTTTTGAAGTAAATGCAGTCCAGTGTGGATGAGTCTAATAAAAGTTTTCAAAAAAAATCATACCCCTTGATTCAGCTATTCATTTTAAACCAATGACTGCTTTTCGGTTTGGATATATGAGCTGTACTGTGTGTATTATATACTCTAGTTGGGCAGGCTAAGGATATGATTAAAACTGTTTTGAACTACACTGTCTTGTCAGTGCTGCTTCCACATCTTTTTGAGTATAGGGAAAACTCTCCTTCTACCAGGGAGGGAGGGAAAGAGGGAAAGAGAGAGAGAGAGAGAGGGAGGGAGAGAGAGAGAGAGAGAGAGAGAGAGAGAGAGAGAGAGAGAGAGAGAGAGAGAGAGAGAGAGAGAGAGAGAGAGAGAGAGAGAGAGAGAGAGAGAGAGAGAGAGAGAGAGAATAAGGCATACACAGCCACCTTCATGTTTTGAAAACTTCAACTTTTAAGACCAGTTATTCTGTGTGGTCTGATAATCCCTATTTAAACAGGACTGCAGATTACACCAGGCTGCTGAAGCCAAATAAGCTGCCCTAATTATATAAATGCTTTGGAGGCTGAACAGGTATCTGCACTGTTAGTCAGTCTGCCATCCAGATTGATTTGGTTATCCCAGGGTGTCAAACCTTCAGCTATCAGTCTGGAGGGGAGAAAATGGAACCGAAAGGACTTGTAATTGTCATAACTTAAATTAAACCAATGATTGACTGAAAGTTTGGATCATCCTTGGAGTTTGCAGCGTTTATTCTTCAGCAGCATTTGTCTCTCGTCAGTTTAAAACTTAACACCCACTTTACAGTAAATCACTTGATGTTGTCCTCATACATAACACCCACTTTACAGTAAATCACTTGGTGTTAAAACCCACTCTACAGTAAATCACTTGATGTTATCCTAATACAAAACATAACACCCACTTTACAGTAAATCACTTGATGTTATCCTAATACAAAACTTAACACCCACTTTACAGTAAATCACTTGATGTTATCCTAATACAAAACTTAACACCCACTTTACAGTAAATCACTTGATGTTATCCTCATACAAAACTTAACACCCACTTTACAGTAAATCACTTGATGTTATCCTAATACAAAACTTAACACCCACTTTACAGTAAATCACTTGATGTTATCCTCATACAAAACTTAACACCCACTTTACAGTAAATCACTTGATGTTATCCTCATACATAACTTAACACCCACTTTACAGTAAATCACTTGATGTTATCCTCATACATAACTTAACACCCACTTTACAGTAAATCACTTGATGTTATCCTCATTTAAAACTTAACACCCACTTTACAGTAAATCACTTGATGTTATCCTAATACAAAACTTAACATCCACTTTACAGTAAAACACTTGATGTTATCCTAATACAAAACTTAACACCCACTTTACAGTAAATCACTTGATGTTATCCTCATTCAAAATTTAAAACCCACTCTACAGTAAATCACTCGATGTTATCCTAATACAAAACTTAACACCCACTTTACAGTAAATCACTTGATATTATCCTCATACAAAACTTAACAGCCACTTTACAGTAAATCACTTGATGTTATCCTTGTACATAACACCCACTTTACAGTAAATCACTTGATGTTATCCTTGTACATAACTTAACACCCACTTTACAGTAAATCATTTGATGTTATCCTCATACAAAACTTAACAGCCACTTTACAGTAAATCACCTGTTATCCTTGTACATAACTTAACACCCACTTTACAGTAAATCACTTGATGTTATCCTCATACACAAGCTGCTGTCATGATTTAACAAAACTGCACTCCTCTTTTCTCTCCAGAAGAGGCTGCAGCAGATGGACAAATTCATAAGAAAGCTGGCGTCGGTCTGAGCAGCACATAACAACAAACTTATATAGTAGTGGATCTGTCTGTATGGCTAGAAAAATGCAGGAGTGTGGAACTAGTCGAAATCAACATTGCATTCTTCAAACAAGCGCAGCCGTGAAATTTAACATCCATGCCCTTCGACTTTTGCTGTCAGAGACTAAATAGTTATGAACTTGTTCCGACTGCAAAGACACCAATTTCTGAAAATGATACAATTATAGAGGGGAGCTTCCTCCCACACAAGCAGGCATACACGATGCATGCCTTTCACAAAGACACAAGGAGCCCTGAAGGTTAGGGCAGCACACTTGGAGGAACACTTGTAAGGCACAGGTCTTTAAGCATATGCAAGCGGACATGACATCATCATTTATAAGCAACTCTGTCAGAGTGTACACTTATGTCAGTTTTCTTATTTCTTGTACGAGTGTACACTTTCTTGTACTGAAAGAACACAATGGTTATTTATAACCTGCGTGAGAGTATCTTTGTCTGTTTTATCCTTTGTCAGTTCTCATGTCTGATAGTGTGTACTTTATTATTTTCAATAGTGTTTACTTTGTCAGTTCTCGCTTTTAATATCCTGTGTACATTGCCAATTTTATTGAGAACTATCTAAGCGTGCAGATTTTGTTAACTGTCTTGAAAACCAAGTGTTTCAGTGTTTGAAAGGAGAGTAGCTAAAAAAATTTTTTTTTTAAATTGACAATGTTTTTAAACCTCTGTTGATTCATGTGTTATCAGTTTTCTTTCTCTAAAACATTTCATATGTGGGAAAAACAATTATTAACTTGGAAAAATAAATAAACTAGAAGTGTCTACATTTTCTGAGTATCTCCTATTTCAGTCGGAAAGTAAGACTAACTAGTGGAAGTTAACATGCCAACAATAAGTGAAACAGATCTTCTAATCAAATTTAATTAATTGTAAATAAGTTAACAATGCTGGGGACAAATTAAGTCTAATGAGAAATCAGCTAACAGGAAACACAGAAACAACTCCTATGATGGTCCCCCAAACCTGAGTCCCTCTGACCACAAATACGGGAAATACTCTACACTTATCATTCTGTGTTAATGTAATTATGTTCTTCAAAATGTAAGAGGATGGGCTGTGGTTGATATTCTAATGACTTGTGATTTTCTTGCCACCAAAGATGATGAAGTTTCAGTGAAGATTCAACTTCCTTCTAGATAAGCCCGGCTTAAGAGTTTTTGCCAGGGTCCTCCTTTAGGGTGACTGTTCTGTTGAAAACCATCTGTGGGAGTCAACAAAATCATGTTTTAAACTCAGCTGATCAATCATCTATTGTCTTCATGTGTTTGCAGATACAGACCGTTATAGAGAGTCAGCAAGTATGATGTTAACTCATATTGATAGCAATCAATACTCAATGAGTGATGTGATCATCATGCAGATCGCCTTCATTACTCAAGACATCACCTGATAGCAGTTTTAGGATGGGTTAACCATGAAGCCCTGGTAATTTTCTACTGTGTAGGTCCGACTTCTGTAGTATTCAACTGTAACTCATCATCAAATGCCTTGCCAACTGACACATTGGAAATCTCCACGACATGAATCAATTCATGTTTTGACATTTTCCCATGCCATGACAAAGACCTTCTTTTGCTGCCTTCCTTTATCTCTCTCTCCACAATTATGTTCACCTAGGGCTGCAGCAGTCAGAATCACCTGTTACAGCAACTTATGAGCCTTTACAACTATAGGATTACTTAGGAGCTAGCTCTATAGGAACAACTATAAGAACATCATAGGTGTCTCTAGAAACATTATAGGAATTCATAGAAACTCTATAGGAACACTACAGGAACAACATAGAAACACCATAATAACAATACAGGAACATCATAGGAATTCTATAGGAACTACTATAGGAAGGAAAATCATAGGTTACGTCGACCTGAGAGCCAAGGTCAAGAATAAATTTTAAAGACCTCTGCTTGATGCAGATTCAAACTCAAGACCTTCAGGTCAGCAGGCGATTATCCAGCCACCAGCTTATACAGCTCCCACAAAGAGCAAACACTTAAAAAAAACATACTTTATTAGTTATATTATGAAAATATAGGGACAAAGTTAATAATTGTTTTTCAAATGATCCTTTCAAGAAGAAAATTGTTAGACATTTGTGTGGGCTGGCAGGTGGTATAACAACTTACATATGTGCCCATGTCTCAAGGATATCAACAACAAGGTTACAATGTGACGTTTTAAGAAATAAAGATACTTTGCTTGGTAGGGAGGTGGGAGGAAAAAAAAAGGGGGTGGGGGGGGGGGGTGTACACACAGACACTAGGAGCACAGGAGTGCATTTACAAAAGTTGCAAACACTCAAGAACAAGTCTGAAAGGGCTTGGAATGAGTCAGAATCAGCTGAGTGTCCATGCTGCACTAGGAGTTGAAAGGCAGAAAGGGAAGGCATATATAATAATGGCAGTCAATGGGGAATCATCTCACAAAAGAACTGAAGCATTTTGTGGCCTCTTCAGCAGTTAAATGCTGCCTCTTTCGCACTTCAATCCAGGAAGTGGTACCTATACTTCCATGTCACAGCCTCTAACTCACTCCTGAATTTTCTAGTGAAGCTGGTGGCTATACTTGTGATATGTTTTCTTTCTTGTATTGTGTTGAATCTTGTGTTGGGTGGCAGTTTGGTCTCGAGGCATGGTGTCCCACCTCAAGTGCTAGAGGTTCCAGGTTCAATCCCCGGTAAGGGCTGGAATTTTTGTCACGTGGATCTGGACTTCTAGTAATTCCCCTGGTCTGTGGGTAGTGAGATTGGGCGCCAGTGTGCGCTGTTATGCACATAAAACATCCCTTGCCAGTTGGAAATCGAAATGAGTAGCTTAAAGGCGCTGCCCGGGCAAAACTTGGAGTTACAAATCTACCCAGACTATTTCAGGATCCTCGCCGGTGCTACAGAGCATGTGCAATGTGCTGAGCTTCTTCGGACTTGAGTTGGAATAAGAACGAAGCACTTATGGGTTACTACCCATGTGCCATGATGTTGATCTGTTGTTCAAACCTCACAACTTATGAGTTAGGTTCGTTTTTTTTTTAAACTACATGCTTTCGTATGTGAACAGGTCCTGCCAGTTACACTTGCCAGTCTCATGGGCTGTGTTCACATGCCTCCCTATAGTCAAATATATCACTTTGACCTGGAAAGATGGAAATGTACCAACTAAAACATGCTTTAGACTTTTACAGGCATCCACAAACAGCATCAACCTACTCTGTCATGAGTGGAGTCTGGGTCAACAGAGAAATATCCAATCCTCTCAAACTGGAACTTGTCATAAACTTTGGCCCCGAGTACAGACTTGTCTACCAGAGCCTCAGTGAGAATCTCTAGGGAATCCTGCACACAATATCATCAGACATGTCAGTAACAGGCTGGGATACATAATAACAACACATGCTATAAACTGTGTCGTCCTGGTATATAAGTCAAACTCAGGATTTTGAGCTTATGCATATATAAAAATCTATATAACAAAATTTATAGCCACCATTTAGCTGACACCTCGTTTGGAAAGAATGTTGAACCCTGCTGCCCCAAGCAAGCAGTTTTTCCTACATTTACAGGTCTGTGATGACAAGAAGTCTTTGTGCAGTGACCACTAGGCCTATGTAACAGCTTTGTTTCTGGACGTAACAGCAGTCTCTCAAAATGGTGGCCATAACTATATATATATATATATATATATATATATATATATATACACCCATAAAAAATTGTGAGATATTATCAGGAGGTTAAAAAATGTATGTTTTTTAAATAGTGACGTTATCGTTGCGTCATAATTATCTCATTAAGGTCATTTTACTTCCCAAAGCAAATTCGAACTTGAAAATTAGATCTAATGCCACAGTTTATGGTAAGTATAGGGCAAGAATCTATATGCCACAGTTTATGGTAAGTATAGGGCAAGATCTATATGCCACAATTTATGGTAAGTATAGGGCAAGATCTATATGCCACAATTTATTGTAAGTATAGGACAAGATCTATATGCCACAGTTTATGGTAAGTATAGGGCAAGATCTATATGCCACAGTTTATGGTAAGTATAGGGCAAGATCTATATGCCACAGTTTATGGTAAGTATAGGGCAAGAATCTATATGCCACAGTTTATGGTAAGTATAGGGCAAGAATCTATATGCCACAGTTTATGGTAAGTATAGGGCAAGAATCTATATGCCACAATTTATGGTAAGTATAGGGCAAGAATCTATATGCCACAATTTATGGTAAGTATAGGGCAAGATCTATATGCCACAGTTTATGGTAAGTATAGGGCAAGAATCTATATGCCACAATTTATGGTAAGTATAGGGCAAGAATCTATATGCCACAATTTATGGTAAGTATAGGGCAAGATCTATATGCCACAGTTTATGGTAAGTATAGGGCAAGAATCTATATGCCACAATTTATGGTAAGTATAGGGCAAGATCTATATGCCACAATTTATGGTAAGTATAGCTATATGCCACAATTTATGGTTAGTATAGGGCAAGAATCTATATGCCACAATTTATGGTAAGTATAGGGCAAGATCTATATGCCACAGTTTCTGGTAAGTATAGGGCAAGATCTATATGCCACAATTTATGGTAAGTATAGGGCAAGATCTATATGCCACAGTTTATGGTAAGTATAGGGCAAGATCTATATGCCACAATTTATGGTAAGTATAGGGCAAGATCTATATGCCACAGTTTATGGTAAGTATAGGGCAAGAATCTATATGCCACAATTTATGGTAAGTACAGGGCAAGATCTATATTCCACAGTTTATGGTAAGTATAGGGCAAGATCTATATGCCACAGTTTATGGTAAGTATAGGGCAAGATCTATATGCCACAGTTTATGGTAAGTATAGGGCAAGATCTATATGCCACAATTTATGGTAAGTATAGGGCAAGATCTATATGCCACAGTTTATGGTAAGTATAGGGCAAGATCTATATGCCACAATTTATGGTAAGTATAGGGCAAGATCTATATGCCACAGTTTATGGTAAGTATAGGGCAAGAATCTATATGCCACAGTTTATGGTAAGTATAGGGCAAGATCTATATGCCACAGTTTATGGTAAGTATAGGGCAAGATCTATATGCCACAGTTTATGGTAAGTATAGGGCAAGATCTATATGCCACAGTTTATGGTAAGTATAGGGCAAGAATCTATATGCCACAATTGATGGTAAGTATAGGGCAAGATCTATATTCTACAATTTATGGTAAGTATAGGGCAACAGGAACTGATATCTTTTATAAATAAAACAAACAATCTTCTCGTGCGTTTTTTTGCTTAATGTTAGCATAAATGTCTGCATTTGTTTCCTGCATGACTGTATTGTCTTCTCCAGATCTTGCATGCTTCCATCAGACATCATGGTTTGTTTTCATTCAGCCATAGAATACAATAAACCCAGTATGTCTTGTCTTCAGTGCTGTTTATCCTGTGCATAACAGGTTTCACTTGTGAACAGATTACACGTATTGGTGTGACTCTGCCCTATGCAGATGAGGTTCTAGAAGACCATCATGTAACATAACCGGAAGAAGGTCACAATGCAGCTAAATATTGGGCTCAACCAAACTGGCAGTAAATGACAGGCACCATCAAGCTAATGCTGTTTGATTCCATGTTTGATTCCAGCAACACCAGACAATGTTACACCTTTTACACCTTTTACGAGTTACTTTCCAGTAACTACAGCTAATGTTACATAGTTCATTCCTCTATGTTACTCCCCAGTAACAGTAGCTAAAGTTACACATCTCCAAGTAACTTTCTAGTAACATGAGACAATGTTACATGTAACATTAATTAACACCATTAACACTTACTAATGTTATGTGCATCTATATTATTCTCCACTAACAGTAACTAATGTCACATGTATCCATTTAATTTCCCTTAACACTAACTAGTATCACATGTTCACATGTATACATATTACACTCCAGTTAAGTATCACATGTACACATGTTACAGTTCAATAACACCAGACAATGTCACATGTATCCATCAACACTAACTAATGTACCATGTATCAATGTCACATGTATCCATCAACACTAACTAATGTACCATGTATCAATGTCACATGTATCCATCAACACTAACTAATGTACTATGTATCAATGTCACATGTATCCATCAACACTAACTAATGTACCATGTATCAATGTTACATGTATCCATCAACACTAACTAATGTACCATGTATCAATGTCACATGTATCCATCAACACTAACTAATGTACCATGTATCAATGTTACATGTATCCATCAACACTAACTAATGTACCATGTATCAATGTTACATGTATCCATCAACACTAACTAATGTACCATGTATCAATGTTACATGTATCCATCAACACTAACTAATGTACCATGTATCAATGTTACATGTATCCATCAACACTAACTAATGTACCATGTATCAATGTTACATGTATCCATCAACACTAACTAATGTACCATGTATCAATGTTACATGTATCCATCAACACTAACTAATGTACCATGTATCAATGTCACATGTATCCATCAACACTAACTAATGTACCATGTATCAATGTCACATGTACCCATCAACACTAACTAATGTACCATGTATCAATGTTACATGTATCCATCAACACTAACTAATGTACCATGTATCAATGTCACATGTATCCATCAACACTAACTAATGTACCATGTATCAATGTCACATGTATCCATCAACACTAACTAATGTACCATGTATCAATGTCACATGTATCCATCAACACTAACTAATGTACCATGTATCAATGTCACATGTATCCATCAACACTAACTAATGTACCATGTATCAATGTTACATGTATCCATCAACACTAACTAATGTACCATGTATCAATGTCACATGTATCCATCAACACTAACTAATGTACCATGTATCAATGTTACATGTATCCATCAACACTAACTAATGTACCATGTATCAATGTCACATGTATCCATCAACACTAACTAATGTACCATGTATCAATGTCACATGTATCCATCAACACTAACTAATGTACCATGTATCAATGTCACATGTATCCATCAACACTAACTAATGTACCATGTATCAATGTTACATGTATCCATCAACACTAACTAATGTACCATGTATCAATGTTACATGTATCCATCAACACTAACTAATGTACCATGTATCAATGTCACATGTATCCATCAACACTAACTAATGTACCATGTATCAATGTCACATGTATCCATCAACACTAACTAATGTACCATGTATCAATGTCACATGTATCCATCAACACTAACTAATGTACCATGTATCAATGTCACATGTATCCATCAACACTAACTAATGTACCATGTATCAATGTTACATGTATCCATCAACACTAACTAATGTACCATGTATCAATGTTACATGTATCCATCAACACTAACTAATGTACCATGTATCAATGTCACATGTATCCATCAACACTAACTAATGTACCATGTATCAATGTTACATGTACCGGTATTACTCTCCACTAATACCGAACAATGCCTGTGTGAACGGGTCTGGCACAGAAATTAATCCTATAAAATATGACCAAGGGACTCAACAAAACAGATGAACCAGCTGCAGTCATCAAAGATTACTGATCACCTGGAGCACACCTGTGAATTTACTCAGCCTCAGGAAACTAGTTATTTAAACCAAGGAGAGAGAAAACTCACCTGATTAATGTCAGTGAGGAATCCACCAGGCACTTCAGCTGGGTCTTCTGGGAACTTGTGTTTGAATCTGTTCGAGAGAAACACAAAGAGAACAAGAATCAAAGAAAGAAAACAAGAATGAAGTTCCTTTTCCAGTCATAAACTGCTTGGAATCACGTTAGACACCTACCTGCTGACCAGAAGGTTTTAGGTTTAAATCTGCAACGAGTCAGTTTTATTTTTCTTGAAACTGACCTTGGTTCCCAGATCAAGCCAGCCAAAAATGGGTATTGGGTAATATCTTGGGAAGTAAAAGCGACCAGTGTGATGTTGATCACATCACCAACAGTATGCTGATTACCGATTTACGTCACTAACTTTTTTCAATTACCAGACAATTTGTCACTCCAAAACTTTTCGGTCCAACTGGTGGAACCGCTCTGTCTTTTGGAGTCGTAACATGAAGTTCCTTCTCTCCATAGCACAAAGCCTGGGCAGTATTGTAGGGACCATGTGCTACCCATGCAGCATAATCCCCCCCTTGACCTGCCTTGTTTATCCAAAAGAAAAGGTAACATCCACACATCTGGGGGGGGGGGGGGGGGGGAGAATGCTGCAGATGCAACCAGGTCAGAAGAGAAATGCCCTGCCTGTCTAACATTTGTGCCCCTTACAAAAATAGTTTTAGATTGAAAGAGTTGAATGATGAATGCTGAATTAAGAATCAACATCGTGGCACTCTGGACACTCCCATAAGCACCTCATCCCCATCTTCAGCAGCAAGGGAAAAGTTCCAATTCCGATGGCACCAGTAACTGTTTGTGGTTGTATACCTGTTTTGCCTTTTTCCTTGATTGTTGAGCGTCGGCCAGATCGCCAGGTAACTCCTCGCAGCGCCACCCTCCTCTGTCTGTGACTCTGCTCTGTTCACTTACTCTTAAAGGGCCCTCACATAATCTAGCCTGTCATACATCAAATTACCACCAAGTGGTGCAGAGAGTCTGAAAGAGTTGAAATAATATAACCACACCTTTCCTCTTCCTAGGAAAAGATTAGTTTCCTCCCAATTGGTTCCTGGACTAAAGCCACTTACACAATGTGGGATGACAGGTCTGGTAGATACCAACCAAAACTGGGTTTTCACTGAGAACTGCAGGTACTTGCTGCTGTTTTATGGTAGCTCAGTCATGTCTGACCAAGGCTTGACTGAAAGTTACATTGTAAAACTGTACAACACAGTAAAATAATAAGGAGGCATATATCAATAGCCTTACAAAAAGAAGGGGAAAAAACAACACATGTATCTTCTTCCTCTTCGTGTTCACAAGCTGTAAACTCTGGCGAAGAGTTCTGGTTGTTCATCCACACTGGACTTAAGACTTGCTCCAAAACCGGAGTGCTGCTTGCACATCCATTTTACAGATCTACTTCTTCTTCTTCGCGTTCACCATCTGTGAACTCCAGTGGAAAGTTCTGGTTGTTCGTCCACTTCTGGACTGCAGTCCTGTTCCAGAACTTGAGTGTTGCATGTGCATCCGTTTGACAGATCTGACTCATTTGTATGCAGGCTGCTGGTTCCTTGCCTCTCAGGCAGGTGCATTCCGACTTTGAAGGAAGCTACCAATTAGTCGGCTCTTACGTCGTGCTTGTTGGGGAGGCAGTGGGCTATTTTTGTTTTCGCCAAAACTGGGCTCCAGAACCCACACAGGGAAACACAAATACAGAAATTACTTACAATGTATCATAGATACGGACTTCGCAGTACAGAGGATCCGACACCCAGTGAATGAAAGCCTTTGGTTTTGGCGCACTATCAGCATTCTTGCAAGATACAACCAGTTCTACAGGCTGGCCAAGGGAATCCTTGCAAAGTGAATGAAGACACGTTAGACATACACAAATCAAGTCTACACGGCCTTTTTTTTCCCCAACATATTTTTTAAAATAACTCAGTGCCGTCTCCACAATCAAGGCTGGGTAAAGTTTACGACCACTATCATGTGGGAATATTATGCAGTGAGCGCCTAATCTTTTTTACAGTGTTACTCTTCTACTACTGTCCAATTAAGTTGAAGCCCTAATCTCTCGTATGTCACGACTCTCGTACTACTGTCCTATCAAATGTGTAATTAACCACGTTATGTCACCATGTTAATTGTCTAACCTAGGAAGCTGGCAATCTAAGAATTTAATGCTGGATATATACCTGAACCGCAGAGATCTGCAGGCTACACCAGGCTGCTGCAGCCATACCTATGCCCTATTATTAACTTCTCTGAAGGCTGAGAAAGGTATCCAGTTTGCCCTGTTGGTCTGCCATCCAGGATGGGACTCTTCAAGTCTCAAAGGTGACAAAACCTTCAGGTAGCAGCTTGCAAGAGAAAGACAAACAGACAGACTTGAACACTTTACATTCCAGCAGCTAGAAAAATGTGTATGCCCAGTGGTTAACATGCGTGCATGCTAGTCTGGCAGTTTATCGATTCAAATCTGCACCAAACATTTACTACCTACTTATTCAACAGCTACTGAATTAACATTCCTTCATTAGAGGTTCCATTGCAGACTTGAGGCATACATAAAACATTCACTACTTACTTATCCAACATCTACTGGAATAACATTCATTCCATAGAAGCTCCATTGCAGACTGGCAAATATAAAACATTTACTACCTTTTTATCTACAGGAATAACATTCAGTCCATGGAGGTTCCATTCCAGGTTTGCGTCACATATAAAACATTTACTACATACCTATCTAACAGCTGCTAGAATAACATTCAGTAAAGGTGCAATCTAAATGGCACTGAGACATACTCGACATACAGGTCTAGCCCCACATTTTGTAGAAACCAACCAGAACTTAAAAGATGGTGTGGTCAACATCAAGCCGACTGCCTTTACTTTCAAGAACCGTTTTAGTGTCCATTTTAAGCTTGGATCCACATCATAGAGAGTGAAGAGATCATTTCTTAAGCGACAAATGCAGGCTGATATGGCATAAACAGGTTGAACTTCCTCAATAAAGTCAACAAGGTGTACTGTTTAAATAATTTCTTTCTGGATACTGACTAGTTCTGTGCCACTGGACAGTGAACTGATGCACGACAATACAGCTGTGCTCAAGGATCTTTCAGCAGAAAATGAACTGTACTGAATTATCCTGAATTAATAATCGACATCAGAGCATTCAGATCACTCCCATAAGTGCTCCATCCCCATCTTCAACAGTAAGCATAAAGTTCCAACTCCAATGGCCCTACTAACAGTGTGACTGTATATCTGTCTTACATTTCCATTCACTGATTGATGAGTGCTGACCAGATCCCCTGGTTGCTCCTTCATGGCATCATTCTCCGCAAACCATGATGAACTGTCTGCAAGAGTCAACAGATCATCACAGTCTAGAGAGAATGATGCAGCAGAAACCAACCAAAGGGTTGGGCCAAATCTCTAAGGAAAGGCAAGACAGACAGTAGTGAAACTTTACACTGGCCTCTGAACAGAGCTGCTTCTGGGAATGCCCTAATTTCTGTGACTAATGCCAGTTCTGAACTAAACTCAGCATTCTAAGTGGTAGAAATATGCGGTGTGATAGTTAAAATGTGAAAGCCAGTACCTTAATGACCTTGTCCACAGATATAACAATGCCTGTATGCCGAAGTCCAACTGCCTGCTCACTCGTCAGGCGGAAGAAATTTTTATCATTTGTCTGTGAAACATACAATCAAATTTCATCAGAGAAAACTTTCACAGTAAACACCTACGCATACAAGCCTTCTGGAAGCAAACATTTTACAGAGCTTTTCAGTTTCTGGCAGTTATTCTAAAATAACATATTGGAGATTGAGTTAAAATAACAAAACCTCCAAGTGTTAAAGTAACATTAATATTTACAGTTAAGGTATCAGGTCTTCTTCTTCTTCTCTTCCATCTGCTGTAAACTCCAGAGGAAAGTTCTGGCTGCTCATCCATTTCTGGATGTGGTACTGCTCCAGAACTTCAGTGTTGCGTATCTGGCTTATTTGTCTGAAGACTGTTGGTTCCCCAACTCTCAGCCAGATGCACTCCAACTCTGAAGGAAACCCCTCAATTAGTCACATTTTATGGCATGTTTGTTGGGGGGGGGGGGGGGGGGGGGGGGGGGGGGGGGGTGGGGGGGGGGGGGGGGGGGGTGGGGGGGGGGGGGGGGGGGGGGGGGGGGGGGGGGGGGGGGGGGTGGGGAGGGGGGGGGGGGGGGGGGGGGGGGGGGGGGGGGGGGGTAGTGGTGTCTATTCTATTCTTTCTTCCCTACAATAGGGAAAGAATAAGGATGTTAAGTAAAGAACTTGTTTCTGTACTGAGCCTATGTTGCTAGTGCCATATACTTTTTTAAATAAAGTAATCAGCGCCTAAACAAGTGGAAATGGTCTATATCCCACCAGCCATGTCAGCTTCCAAGAACATTTCCTGGTACCCATTTATAGTCTGGGCCGATAAGGCCATACATTTTCAAGGTTCTATTTCTCTAGATAGATCAAATAAAAGTAACTGACTCCTTATGTCCAGTGACAGGTCATCTTTGTTACTATTGTCAGAAATGTGGCCTTATAGTCTCCCCTTTCCTATTTCCAAATGCAGTGTACATTTTTAACTTGCATATGCAGTCGCCGCGGTCTAGCGGCTAGACGCTCGCCTGCAGATCAGAAGGTCGTGGGTTCGGTTCCTGACAAGTGCTGGAAATTTGTCAAATATGACCTTGGCTCCCGGGTCCACCCAGCCTTGAGTACATTCCTGGGAAGTAAAGGTGGCCGGCGTAATGCTGACCACATCACTTAACAAGTGCCGTTTGGTCTATAAAATATAGGTCTAGCCCTATATGCCCAATACAGCTAAAGGCGTGGAACAGGGTCCTTTACTTTACTTTTTAGTTTATATGGGGGTGAAAGTTCTGGATTTTTTTTCCCCACTTCTGCACTCTGGTCTTGTTCTATTACCTGAGTTTTTTTTTTATGCACATCCATTTCAAATATGGCTTATTTATTTATATGCAGACTCTTTTAGCTCCTCACCTCTCAGACAGATGTACTTTGAAGGATCTCCCCCCCCCCCCCCCCCCCCCGATGCACTCTGTCTTTGCAGGCTTCCCCCCCCCCCCTTTCCCAGATGCACTTCGACTCTGGAGGACCCCCACCCTAGGGGCTCCCGAACATCACAGGGAATCGCTTGCATGCATGGATGTATGTATGTATATATGTATGTATGAATGAATCTGTGTGTGTGTGCGCATGTGTACATGCAATTTGTGTGTGCATGCGTGTGTGTATCCAGTACACACATTATACATTTGTTTGTGTGTAACAGAATCTTATTTATAAAACAAAAATAAGGATGAAATATCAGTGTGTGTATGCAAAAAAGAAGCAAATTAGTAACACTGCAAACTACTGTGCATAAGAGCTGACTAAGGAAGATTGGCATCGCTCTGGCTACCTTATCCCATAGAAAACAAGCCCAAAAATCTCTAATCAATCATGAAGAAGTCTACAACAGACTTCACAAGAGCTGGTTGAAGACGTGACTTCCTTTGGGAGATCAAAGGCAGTAGAAGAAGAATATGTTTATAATTAAGCCAGATCTGTAAAACAGACTGCACCCAAAACTCAAGTTCCCGAACAAGACCAAAGTCTAGAAATGGATGAACAACCAGAACTTTCCACCAAAGTTTACAGCTGGTAACGTAAAGAAGGAGAAGAAGATATAAATAACATTCTTTAGTTGCAGTCCCAGATAGCTTTACTTTTCCTCATTCTTACTCCATCTCTGCTTGGGTGTAACTGCGCGACTTTCAAGTTGCCTTCATCTGTCTCTGTGCTTATATTCCTATATGACTGTCTGTCTGTGTTTCTAAAACGCTCATTCAATGTTTATCCCACCCCTTTTCTTTCACTCACTCACTCAACTCTTTCTCAATCGCACACACACACACACCTACACAACATTAAACATATATACCTCTTTGAAGTCATCCTGTTCAATATATATAGTGCTGCCTATGCCAATCGTGTGGAATCCTTTGTTGTCATTCCCTGGGAAGTTTGGCACAGAAACCACCTTGGGAAAATCACTTGGCAAGTTGGATATGACAACCTTCAGGGGATGCAGTACAGCCATGGCTCTGTCGGACAGAATCAAGTATCATAAAGCCAATCCCACAGATTCAGTAAACAACAAATATCTTTATTTACTAAAAGTCCCGGTATCAATTCAGTCAATGATGGTGATCTAAGGGACCAATGGTATCACTGTGGCTAGCACATTTGCCTGCTGGTTTGGTAGTCATGGACCACTGTGTGAGTTCTGCTAACCCTTTTGGGGTAGTAAAACCCACTAGATAGATCCAAAGCACAGATCCTCTCCCACCACCACCCCCCCCCCCCAAACCCTTTTCACCAAAAAGTGGCTCATAGGAGGAGACCATTTAGTCAGTTTCCTTCGAAGTCACAGTGCATCTGCCTGAGAGGTGAGGAACCAACAGTCTGCATACAAATAAACTAAATCTGTCAACTGGATGTGCACACAGCACTCAGGTTATGGAACAGAAGAAGAGACCTGAAGTAGATGAACAACCAGAACGTTTCCCCAGAGTTTACAGCCGGTGAATGTGAAGAAGAAGGCAGTGATCTGTCTGAAACACATTCAATTACGGATTTTTGAAAATCTTACCTACGCTGACATGTCAATCAAGCCTAAATGGGTACCAGGACATGTTCTTGGAGGTAAAGGCAGCAAGAATATTTCCAACATGCAAAAAGCATCAATCTGTCAGATAAAGACTGTTCTATGTGAGAGACACCTACTCAAGGATACCTCAAAGCTTGATTAGAGATTTTAAATACTACCCAGTTCTTTGTCAACTATGACTGCGTTACCGTTTATAACCCTTGACCCATTAGGGTCAAAGAGGTATATCGAAGGAAACAGTAGCACGCTAAACCTGCCATCTTTCTCTTTCCTCTGCTTCATAAATAAGTGTTTGATAACTTATTCCTATCCATTTCTTGATGCTGTCATTCCAGATTTTCCTTTGCCCTCCTCTTCTTCGACTACCCTCCAATGTTCCTTGAAGTAGTCTTTGCAATCGAACCCTGTCTCAACAAGTGCCCAAACCAAGCTAGCTTGCGACGTTTCACCACTGCCAAGTGAGGCTCCTGATGTCCTGCAAATTTGTATATTTTGTCTCTGACATATCTGTTAGTTCTGTGTTCTAAAGAACTAAATAACCATAGTAGTCGGTGACCTTCCGTTCTCTGACAGTGATACAAGGGGAAGGACAAACAGCAGTTTGAGAGAATAAACAAAAATGGCATCAGAGTGTGTTTGAGATCCACTGTAGGCAATCCTTACTGGAGGCAGGGCAACTGGCTGACCGAATGAATAAGCACCAATGACTCATCTCTTGGCACTATCATTGTTCATAACAGACAATGTTTTAAACTGTAGTCACTCACCTTGGGGCGCTAATGTTGAGAATGTCTCGCACACAAGCCTCCAACATTGGTGGATCTATGCAAGTCTGGGCCATCGTTACACCAACCTGACATATGAATTACACAATCCTATTAGTTTTACAGGCCTTGAAAAATAAAAAAATAAAAATAGGTTGAAAGTCTGAGGGTCGCCTTCAAAGCTCCAAGTTTTTATCTCATAGGTAGCACAAACACCGTAGTTCCAAGGATGATCCTCAAAAAGACTGTCCACTGTAATGAACCAAACCCATGAGCTTCAGAGTGCAAGGTAAGTGGCTTATCCACTTTATCAAGGATACCCATTTTTATAGACATATAAGCAAGTGTTGTATTTAGGATTACTAAATATTATAACAATTGGAACTCAAGATTTCCTTAAATTCTATATACACCAAACCTTTTTTTTTAAACAAGAAAAAAGCTCACATTTATTGCTTCACCTCATATCATAGGGACTGAGCCTAAACTGTGTACTAGGAAATGCCTTGGGAAGTAAAAGTGATCAGCATGCTGTTGACTGCATCATTCCCATGTGCCGGCTGATATCTAACAAATATGGGTTTAGCATCATATGCCCTGTGCATCAGTGTTGTTTAAAGGGTCCATTGCTTATCAACTAAACTCAAGCATCCTCTTTAATGAAAAATGTGGATCAAAACCTAGAACTACTATGTTTTTTGTGAACTGTGTCGGTAACTGTTATCTGACTAATATCCGTCAGGAAATTCACAAACATAATAACCACAAAATACACTCAAGCCTCCCTATTGGGCTTCAACATTTTGGTGTAAAGTTAACCTAAAATTTCAAAAATATGAAAGGTCGAGGGATCAGCATTTTAAGAATTCTTTTATCAGTGTGAGATTTTCTTCAAGCAGATACCTCGGAGTACTAAAGTGAATCTTATCAAAACTATTTTTTGGCCAACACTATGCTATCAATGCCAAATGTGGACATTTACATCCTCCAATGAACGTAAAATTGTGACAACAGAGATGAAATGCCTTAGAAGAACTGCAGGACTTTCAAGGAAAGACAGAATACGAAATAAGGAAATCAGACGAATGCTAGGAATAAAGCCAGTCTTACAGGTCATCAAAGAACAACAAATGAAGTGGTTTGGACACCTAACAAGAATGCTCTGATACTATCCGCCACAGCGAGCCACACTAAAATGTTACAACGGGTATAAAGCGAGTGGAAGACCTCGGAAAATATGGAGTGATGGCATTAAGAACAGTCTTATAGAAATGAACATGTCTTAATAGTGCTCTTGGCAGAGCTCATCAACGAACATTACATCTCCCCCCGACACTTCTATGAGGTTCAAGGTGGAAGAGAAGAAGAAGAAGAAGAGATTTTCTTCTTTTCTTCTGTGTTCACTCTTCAAATGGTGATTGGCACATTGTGTTGTAGTTCACAGTTAGGTTGTGATATCAACACATCTTTCTTCAACAAAATATAATTAGTTGCCTTTGTTGTTGCCTAAACGGGCTTGCAATGTTCAAGGTAAGAAGAAATTTGCTGGATTATTTCTTCTTCTTTTATTGTCAAATTTATTTTAGCCCGTGTCTTGGTTTCTTGTATTTGTCTCCTGCACTTATCCGTAGCCTGAGAAGTGATTTTTGTCCATCTTTTTGGCAGGTTTCCTCTATGCCATCTATCCAAGAGATAGTAAAATTAAAGGAGGAAAAGATGGAGGAAGTCAGTATAGAAGCATTCTTGACAGCCTTGCATCAGAGCAATGAGGACGCTGGCAGCGCTTAAACGTGTACATTCTTCTGGTGTCTAGGAGCTGTGGAGTGGCATGGTTATGAGCTGGCAGGGAGCTGTGGAGTGACATGGTTATGAGCTGGCTGGGAGCTGTGGAGTGGCATGGTTATGAGCTGGCTGGGAGCTGTGGAGTGGCATGGTTATGAGCTGGCTGGGAGCTGTGGAGTGACATGGTTATGAGCTGGCAGGGAGCTGTGGAGTGACATGGTTATGAGCTGGCTGGGAGCTGTGGAGTGACATGGTTATGAGCTGGCTGGGAGCTGTGGAGTGGCATGGTTATGAGCTGGCTGGGAGCTGTGGAGTGACATGGTTATGAGCTGGCTGGGAGCTGTGGAGTGACATGGTTATGAGCTGGCTGGGAGCTGTGGAGTGACATGGTTATAAGCTGGCTGGGAGCTGTGGAGTGACATGGTTATAAGCTGGCTGGGAGCTGTGGAGTGACATGGTTATAAGCTGGCTGGGAGCTGTGGAGTGACATGGTTATAAGCTGGCTGGGAGCTGTGGAGTGACATGGTTATGAGCTGGCTGGGAGCTGTGGAGTGACATGGTTATAAGCTGGCTGGGGGCTGTGGAGTGACATGGTTATGAGCTGGCTGGGAGCTGTGGAGTGACATGGTTATAAGCTGGCTGGGGGCTGTGGAGTGACATGGTTATGAGCTGGCTGGGAGCTGTGGAGTGACATGGTTATGAGCTGGCAGTGAGCCATTTACCTTAGCACAGAAATAGTTGACAGCCTCTGGGGGAAATCCTCTCCTCCTCAAAGCCGTCAGTGTGAACAAGCGCGGGTCATCCCAGTCCCTGCAATGTTGAGAAGTTAACACATGTCAGTTGTAAGCCAGCCCATCACACGGAGACAGGTAAGGAGGTGAAGACACGGGTAAGAAAGGACAGAAAAGAGGCTGGAAAAGACAGGGAGAGAAACAGGAGAGGGTTAGAAAGGATAGAAAACAGTGGTAGGAAGAGACAGATGAAGAAATGAACAGAAAAAGGAGAAATTAGTTTGGAGTTTGAAAGATCTGATATTTATACCATTGTCAAAATCACCATAAAGCTGTCTGCAGCCAAATCACCTTCAGCTGGCATATCAGAATTAGGAAATTGATTCATAATCCCTAAGCCACATGCAAGGACTAGTTTTTGAGATACTGCAAACAAAACGTACCTGACATGTCCCTCATTAATCAGCTTGGCAATCTTTCTCTTGGAGACCACAGTGTAGCTCAGATTCAGCCGACCATACTCCCACTGGACTGGACAATACATGTCCAACACATTGCATAGCCAATAGTAAGAAGAACGTCTGTGAACCAAAAACAGATACAGTAGAACCTCGCTTAACAAGCACCTCGCATAACGAGTAATTCGCATAACAAGCAAAACAAATTGTGAAAAAAAATGACTTGCTTAACGAGCGACGTTTCGTACGCATGTTACCTCAGTCTGTGTTAAGCACTCGTTCCAGTAGCATCGTGGTGTCACTTGTGATCACACATTTTCTCAAACTTGTGTTATATTATGATATATGTACATGAATCTTCCAGGCCTACAAGATGACCTCTCTGAAGAATTTAAGTTCATCAAGATCTAATTTCTGCCTTCCAACACCACTCCGTTACTCCAGCTCATGGACAAGCAAGTTATTTCTAACTTTAAGAAACTCTACACTAAAGCACTCTTCGAGCATTGTTTTCATGTGACTGAAGGGACCAACCTCACTCTCAAAGAGTTTTAGAGAAAAATCACGTCCACATAGTTGCCTGCCTCAAGATGATCGACAAGGCGGGAGAAGGGGCTACCAAGAGAATCTTAACTTCCTCTTGGAAGAAGCTTTGGCCAGAGAATTTTGTGACTTTAAGGGGTTCGAGACAGTGAAACCTGTAGTCAACGAGATTGTGTCTTTGGCCACTATCACTGGGTTGTAGGTGGATAACAGTGATATCAAAGAGCTTGTGGAAGAGCACAGCCAAGAGCTGCATTTTGGAGGAAAGGTTGTCAGAGGAGGAGGTAACAGAAAAGCAACAATTTTCTGGCGAAATAAGAGAAATGCTGAAAGCATGGCAAACTGTTGCATCTTACATTGAGAAGCATCGCCCTAATAAGGAAGTGGCTATGCGCGTTGCAAATTTATTTAATGATAATGCTGTGTCGCGTTTTCGCCAAATTTTGAAGCGTCGGCAAAAACAAATCTCTGGACATCTTTCTAGTAAAAAAAAAAAAAAAATAATTAGCTATGTGTCCTAATTATTTCGACTTTTTTTTCTGCAAATCGAATTCGCATTCCATGTGAGTTTGTTATGCGTTTGAAGAAAAGATGAAGATGATCCACTCACCTTAACAATATGTATATAATTTTCATTGAATAAACTGTATACATAGCATTTTGTGAGTATTTTTTTCGACATGGAACGCATTATCGTATTTTACATTAATTTATATGAGAAAAATTGTTTCGCATAACGAGTGTTTCGCTTAACGAGTATGATTCTAGAACGAATTATGCTCGTTAAGCGAGGTTTCACTGTACTGGTACCACCATACACAAAATACACTAAATATATGCTATACTGGACACATATGGAAAAGTAAAAGGCTTGAGGAAGTAAGGATGTCCAAGAACAACCGTAAGAAGAATGTTGATAAGAGAAGCCAAAAGTGCCAGACTGGATTCCTTCCATATTGAAATAATTGCACAGGACAGAAAGGAATGGAGAAATAGGCTGCAAGCCCTATGTGATATATAATGGTAATACAGGACAATGAATGAATGAATGAATCATTCACAAAGACTGATAATTACAGTGCAATTCCTTGATGTGAAATTCTCTGAAGACAGAAAGAGGTCACTGATGCTATTGTAACAGATGGAATCTCAACAACAACCACAAAAACACATTAGGCAAGTGATGAACTATCTAACAAATTATTAAATTTTCTCCTTTTTTGCTTCCTTTTTTTCTTACCGCTCTGTGTATTGAGGGAGATACAAAGTTTGCTTGGTGCTTTTCTGACTGCCTTGACCATAGATACACTGTACTGTTGTAGAGTTTCTCTGATGTTATCTTTCCAACCTTGTTCTTTATCTTATGCTCCACATCCCTCTGCTCCTTTTTTTTTTTTAGTATTCTTCCTTTCATGGTTCTGCATCACATATCATTCTTTCTAAGTGGGTAAACCATTTCATTTGCTGTCTTTGTATATAACTTAGTACTGGTCTAGTGCCATCTTTTTCTGACTTCAGTTCTGATTTTGTGTTTTCTGGTCACTTCTGCAGCATTTGATCAACTGTCAAAGTGATTATTATCGGATAAAATATAATAATAATTTAATAAAGTATCAAACTCTTCGTCTTAAAACCAGTCCAGTCTTGACATGTATGTGTCATTAATTTTAAACCTAGAGCGAACTTTCTTGAAGATGTTTGGAAACGAAGTCCTATTTCTGAATATAAACTATGAGCCGATACACAACTATTCGAGGCAGAGTTTGACCCAAAGAGCGACAATCACCCTTTGTAATTATAAACTGTATATTTTGTTTAAGTATCACATCTGTGTTCCCTGAGCTATCAGTAGTCTTTAATCTTTCATCACAAGACATTTTTTTCCCAGCAGAGGTCCAAAGGAGATACTGTGTTTCCTTAAAAATAAGACCCAGTCTCAAATAATATAATTTTTTTGTTATAAAAGTCACCTTAATGCTTATTTTCAGGAGATGTCTTACTTCTTCATGTACATAATAACATTTATTTAAAGAACGAACAGCATGGTTTATTTATCTATTCGTTACTTTATAATTCAACATCTTTTATGTGTTGCAACAGACAAATAAAATCCGCCCATCTGGCTGACGATCTTAGATAGGGCTTTGTGGGAGGTGGGGAAGGGGGGCATCGTGGTAACCACAATGTAAAATGTATTATTTAATGATACAGCATGTAATGTGCTACAAGTTTAAATATTAAGCCAGATTTCTTTGGTTCGCTTTGGACCAGCAGACAGGTCTCTAACCATAGGTTGCCACAGCTCCCAAGATGACTCACTCATAAGTATTAAATTACAGGAACGTAGTATTATCATACACATGAAAAGCACTGGTAAAATATAAAGGTAACAATGTTCTCAATAACATATTCTCACACGTCATACCTGGACTGAAATTCTTTGGTACACAATGAGTGTGTGATGTTTTCAATAGAGTCACACAGGCAATGAGTAAAGTCATAGGTCGGGTATATACACCTGTGACAGCAAGTCATAGTTGAATGAATTAAACCCAGTTAATGCAGGGACAAAGTTTAAGTGCATATACACCTGTGATAGCAAGTCATAGTTGAATGAATTAAACCCAGTTAATGCAGCGACAAAGTTCAAGTGCATATACACCCGTGATAGCAAGTTATAGTTGAATGAATTAAACCCAGTTAATGCAGTGACAAAGTTCAAGTGCATATACACCTGTAGTGGCAAGTCACATTTGACTGAATTAAACCCAGGTAATGCAGTGACAGTCCAAGTGCATATACACCAGCAGTAGTTGAATGAAATAAACCCAGTTAATGCAGTGACAAAGTTCAAGTGCAATTACACCTGTAGTAGCAACAGTTGACTGAAATAAACCCAGTTAAAGCAGTGACAAAGCTTAAGTGTATATACACCTGTGGTGGCAAGTCACATTTGACTGAATTAAACCCAGGTAATGCAGTGACAGTCCAAGTGCATATACACCAGCAGTAGCTGAATGAATTAAAGCTAGTTAATGCAGAGACAAAGTTCAAGTATATACACCTGAGGTGGCAAGTCACAGTTGGCCGAATTAAACTTAAGTTAATGAAGTGTCATAAAACATTTTTTTTAAGCAAGCAAAGAACCCCTTTTTATGCCTGTGGCGCAGAGGGCATATCTTCTTCATTGTTCGTCTCAGTGTTCGTGACAGTTTAAAACAAAGCAATGATATTTGTGCCTTTGGGTCAACACATACGACGTCTTTAGGCATTTGTTCATTAGGTTAGTTAGCCTTTCTGGGTGATTTCATGTGATAAGATGTAGCCTTGTTTTTGTGGTGTCCTCTTTGTCCCTTCAACCTCATCCAGGGCAACTGCTTGCAGACCGGTGGGCCCTCAAGGAAAGGCAGGGGCAGATCATGGGCATTCCCCACCATCCAAGAAGTAAAGTAAAGGACCCTTTTCCACGCCTTTAGGCGTATAGGGCATTAGGGGCTAGACATATATTTTTATAGACCATCGGCACAAGATGGATGATGTGGTCAGCATCACGTCTGCCGCCTCTACCTCCTGGGACTGCACCTGGTACCCACTCAAGGCTGGGTCGACCTGGGAGCCAAGATCATTTTTTTTTAAAGTCCGGCTCCGCCAGGGAGCGAACCCACGACCTTCCGATCTGCGGCGGGCATCTAGCCGCTCCGCCACGGGAACTCCCACCATCCAAGAAGGCTTCCATAAATGCAGAGCTGACACTTGACACTCTGGTCCAGGCCTCCCCAAGGAATCATCATGCCCTGCTTATCCAAAAATCTGTGTATTCAGATTCTCACTCATCATAAGCTGTGCCTTTTGCAGACCAACAGGGAGCAGCTCGCAGGCTTGGAACTTCAATGATCACACAAATGGGCACAATCTTATTTAGCATGTTAAACAGCTTTAACATTGTTGCATCTAGACATGTAGCTTGACTGTATAGGAAAAGCATAATCAGGAATGGTTTCCCAATTTTGGTCCTGACACTCCGATGAGCTGGACATTTGATGATCATATTTTATTTGGGCCCCATACTCAAGACGAGTGAAGTCAATGGTAGCGGGCATTTGAATCACGACTGTCAAACAGCAAGACATTTAATGGTGGGACACCTAAAACTTTGCCGTTATGCCGTAGGATACTTGATCGATGGACAACTGATCCTAATCAGCAATTCAGTAGGACTTTCGGTCGACAGGCATTTAAACCAAGGTCTGTCTTATAGTACGATATTAGGCTAGCGTGCTTGACTCAATTACCAAATAAGATTTTTATAGACGTTATCCCCACTGTACTGATGTTGGGCTGAAGAGAGTTAGAAGATTTCTAGACACCGCATCTCTGGGGAGCAACTGATTCCAAGATCCCCGGTCAGCTAGGTTAAGGTCACTATTAGCCATCCGTAGCGCATGACGAGGACGTGTGGCAAGAGTCTTGCGTGAAAAATTCCACTTCTGGATCAAATGAACTGGTTCTTGCCACTGCCTGTCAGCATTCATCATCTTCTTGTTCTTTTCCTCTAGTTACCTCTTGCTTTGGGAGGGTTGGGGGGGGGGGGGAGAAGAGGGGTTGAGGTATGTGGGGGATGAGGTCATAAGGATGCTCTTTTTAATGCACTTTCTCTAAGACTGTTCCTGATGACACCATTTTATCTTTTGCATGGTCTTCCCCTTACTCTTTGCTGATTACATTTATTCAATAAAACTCACTACGGCAGTTGGTACCAGGGCATCCATGTTAAATGGTCAAATTATTTTCTCTGTTGCTCTTTAATCAACTGTATGACTGATTTCACTCCTAGTCTTCAAATATTTCTGTTTGTCTTTTCCCGAAAGCACTCTTAGCAATAAATTCTCTATGTGATAAACACAAACTAAAACAAGTATACACTCACCATTTATCCCCTGTCCTGTGGTGGGGGGTGAATTTAATTCGATAAGCTACTGGATCCTTCTTTCCCTCCTCTAATGTTGTCTTCATACGAAGTGTTGCTTCTCCTTCCGCTATCTTTCCTTTTTTCATGTCCTGTAAAATATGTTTATGAAACTGTTTCAACTGTTTAATTTTATAAGCACATGTCTGCAAAAATTACATTTAATACTGTAATGACTTCCTCATTCAAATAATTACTGTGCATTAGTGGCAGACTGAAAACAATTTGGAAGTTTCTTAGGTGTTTTGGATGCAAAGAATGAGCTGGATGGAAACGAATTAAAAAAGATAATTATTTAACCCTTTCGACTCATGGGAATCTGGAGAAAAAAAAAGGGACCTTTTTTTTCCCAAAATTGCATTAAAAATAAAAATTTTTAAATTTAACTGTGTCTTTACTTTATAATTAATTCTCTTAACTTCTTTGTTCAAGGCTGTAAGTTCTGGCGGAAAGTGCTGGCTGTTTGTCCATTTGTACTTTAGCTGGGTGCCAGAACCTGAGTTTTGCTTGAACATCCGTGTTAGCTTATTTGTTGTGTGCAGTTAGTTGTTCCTTGCCGCTTGGGCAAATGCACTCAGACTTCAAAGGACACCCCCCCCCCCCCCCCCCATTAGTCGACTCCTACGACATATTGGAAAAGCACCATTCCAGAGGGTCAAACCTCTTTGTGACTGTCAAATCACAAACAATTTATGTACATCTTTTTTGAAAACCAGTTTTAACTCACTATTTTAGGCAAAGGTAATCTCTGTTTATCTGAAGGGAAGTAATCACGTGGGCAGAGAAAAGCATACAATTTCTTTCCCGTTGACCATGAAAATAGATTTTGCTGAGACAGCCTGGTAGTGCAAAGTTTCATAATTAAGAAGATTTGATAAAGTTTTATGAGATATTTAGAATAATATATATATTTTTTTCAAAACTAATAATCTGTCCATTAATTTTTTTAAATAGTCGCACCCACCATAACTATACACTACACAGTTGCAGTCAATTGCAAAGTTGTTATAATACATTTGTGCTGGTCAAAAAGAGCAACCCAGATGTTTTGAAAGAGGCAAGAGCTGAAGAAGACAACTTATCCCAAACATTAGACTGAGACAGTCCCCATTCTAGGCCATGTTATGAGAAGAGAGGAAACTGTAGCATGCTGTGACCACTGGACAGATTTGTAACAAGAAAGCTTTTTGTTATGGCATGGAGGGGTGTTGGCATATGGCACGACGAATACTATTGGAGACAGTATATTGTGGAAAGGCATTATCACCTACGCCAGCCGGTAAGGCCTGGATGATGATGACAATGATGAGTTTTAAAATACCAGCAAACTGTAAAGCCTGAAAGACACCTTACATTTAATAAACTTCTAAACCATCTGCATTGGTTCGAATAATAACACTACTCACCTCAAACAGCTGAAGAGACTCCCAGATGGGCCTATTTCTCCATGGTGAGTCTGGAGGATTGAACCCTTTCAACAAGTCAGCAGGCATGTGGCATACATAAGCATGGCCACGCCTGATGAGTTCTACTGCACACTCATACAGCCGGTCAAAGTTGTCCGAGGCATATGTTACTTTGAAGGGTTTATATCCTTGAGCACAAAAACAACAGACAGAAAACTTTGAAAGCGACCAAAAACAAATTATGTTAATGCAATACATAAAAAGGAATCCAGTTTGTTCATTTTTTTTTTTTTTTTGAGTTACAGTTAAAAATAAAGATTAGACACTTAAAAACAATAGACTAGGGGAGGTCTCTGTGGCGAAGTGGTCAAGCCGTTCACCTTGTGCTCTAAAGGCCATAGGTTTATTTCAAACTTGTGCTGTTCAGTTAATGAGTGCAATTTTTATGAAGATCTTAAGGGATCATCACCAGAGCAACAGAGTTTGTGCTCTGTGCAGCGCTCTCGGCAGGCAGCTAGCCGTTCTGCTGGGAGACTGAGCTATATAGGATAAAGCCTGTGTGCAATAAAGTCGATCCTCTCGACTTTAAACAACAGACTACATGTATGAACATTACGCTACATGTATAACCATCAGTCACGCACAAACATCATCATCAGGTGCCTTGCCGACTGGCATGGGCAATCATGCTTCTCCATAATTTGCGATCTCCTGGTCACAACATGTTCTATTTTCCCTCTTCTCAAAGCATGGCTGAAAAATGATGACACAAACATCAAACATGTGTAAATACTCTACATGTACAAACACCGGAGATGAACAAACTAAATATGAAACACCAAACTACATGTACAAACATCACAGTAAATATATAAATATCAGACATATATAAATACTAGACTACACGTACAAACACCAGAAATGTACAAACATCAGACATGTATAAACAACAGACTACAGGTACAAATACCAGACATGTACAAACATCAGATTCACATGAATAAACAATGGACCACATAAACAAACATGTCACTACACATACAAACATTCCACTTTGTGTATAAACACTTCACTGCAGGTAAAAACAGAATAGAAGTTAGCAATGCCCATGTGTGCAAATATAAAAACACATTTATAAACACCACATACAAATATAAGGACGTATAAATATCACAGTGTGCATGTGTAAAAATATAACAGAATGTGTGCAAACAATATACCTGTCCCCAAAGAACTTGATATACAAAAGACACACATAAAATCTGCATACACATGAAGCAACCACATTACGAAATGTTGTTTACCCAGCCACTCTACCATGTCCCTGATGCCAAGGAAAAATTTCTCCTCCTCTTTTTCTGGGTTGGTGTCATCATAACGGAGGTAACAGAACCCGCCCATGGCCTGTGGAGTGAGAAACTTTTTAAGAGCTGACAATCACAGGACACAGACTGCATCTCCCCCCAAAAATGCTGCGAGACAGATGTTCACAATTAGCTAAGACACGCAGACCTCATTTAGTCAAAAGTTTGCGAAGGAGCCATAATTCAGTTATCTTAAAAGCTACAGCTTAAGAGACCTTCACATCGTAACTCAAAACTGTTACTGAGTTTAAAGAATTAGTTCATAAAAAGCATCATGTCCCAACAGTGAAGCTTTTTTTTAACCATGTTAAACATTATGGTGGCCTGAAGAAACTGATATTCAGTTTCTGGACAATCAGGCAGATAAAGAGCTCCTCAAGGTGGATACAAGACACTGAAGATGCACTAGCTATGAAAGCACAGAGCAGGAGAACTGGCCAGAGAAAGAGATAATTTCATGCAGGCTGTGACGAGAGCAACGTCCTGTACAGGACCTGCTGAGTAGTGACAATACTAAGTTTATACTAGGATCTTACCGGCTTGTTTAGTTACCATTAGAGTTCAGGACAACAGCAACACAGTTTCCAGAATATTAAAGCTAGTACTTCTTCTTTGTTCGTTCTCCTGGCAGGTTTTTGGATGAGAAGCCTGTAGGCCTCTGTGAAGGCTGTGGTGTGATGCATGTCCTCCACTGATCCATCTACCTTGATTTCTATTATTAACATTACAGTTGAGTTAAAGTTATAGAAGACAGGTGACAGATGACAGTAGTGAGCAGCTGAAAAGTTCTTAGAACTGGTCATCACTTTAGCTATGTTATGCAGATAATGTCACTAAAAGCCCCTTATTAGCAATGGCCTCCCCTTAAGAAATTGCAACTGACTTTTAAGCAACTTCTTCTTCAGCTTTCTGGGCTCTAGAAATTCACATCACTGCAGATATCACCTGAATATTTTCATCTCTGTGATTAGCCTTCTCTTTCTGGATGGTGACTCCAAATATTTGTAGGTCTGCCTGTAAATCTTCTTCTTGTTCAGGTTCACTGGCTGTAAACTCCGGTGGAAAGTTCTGGTTGTTTGCCAATTTCTTGACTCTGGTCTTGTTTCAGAACTTTACGTTTTGTGTGCAAATTTATTTTTATAGATCTGGCTTATTTGTAAGCAGACGGTTAGTTTCTTGTCCCTCAGGCAGATGCCCTCCAGCTTCAAAGGAAACGACCTAATTTGTTAACTTTTATGACATGCTTGTTAGTGAGACAGTGAGTCTATTCATCCCACTACCCCATTTTTTCCATCATGAAGCCCTTGAACCCACAAAGGGAGGATGGATACTATTCTAGCAAATTGAAGTAACTAACCTCAAATAATGACTAGGAAGCTCAACAGAAGGAAATTAAAGATGTGCACAAAAATGTGAGGGGAAAAAACTGAATGTTTCTGCCAAAGTCCTTATCAAGGTATAATACAAAAAAAAGCATCCTTGACATCAAATCCCAAATAGGGAAGTCATATGAATAACTAAACCATCTAAACCACCCTCTCCTCATTTTAATAGTTCTGACCTCAGAGGCAAAGCTGTTATCTCTATCACTACCATTAAATCTTGCTCTGGTGATCTCTCTCTTTAGAAAATCACCTTATTCAGTTTAGGTGTCTTTACTGCAGCAGAACAAATGTCCAGCACACCTTCATCTAAATACTAGTATTTCTATGCCTATTGTACCTTTTCCTATTATTTTCATTCTACTGATTCTGCTTTGTTTCACAGCTTCTCTTTATAGGCCTGTAACTCTGTTATAGTGATTCATGTGACTTCCCCATTATGAGGGCCAGTGTCTAGGATTGTTGTTGTTCTTGTGTTACTTGCTGATGAAGACTTGGGTCAAAACATCTGGCTGCATCTGTGCACATTATTCTCCTTACCTCCTCATTAAGCTTCGAAGTCAAAGCTTGTGTCTAGCCTTTTTCCAACACTTCTGAAATGTCTCCACCATTTTCTTGGTCTACTCCCAGTCAGCGCTTACTGTGCAATACAAAACTGAGTATCTACTTCCAGAATATCACGTCAGTGGAAAGACATGATGGCTAATAATAACACAAGGTATGGGCTATACAAAGATACTGAATCCAAAAATGGAGACGAAAAAAATAATAATCAAAAAACACTCACCTTGGCATATCCAAAGTTAAAATTGATGGCTTTGGCATGACCTATATGTAAAATTCCATTCGGTTCAGGGGGAAACCTTGTGAATACCTGCAAGCAAAAAAAGACAGGTAATGTTTTTTCACTGATTAACCCACTGACTACATGCCCTTCATTAACCCTTGCACTTTTCCAGATACCACATATTTTAGTGTGTACTAAAAATGCCACAGCTTCACAACTATTTAATATTCACTTATCATATTTTGTATTTTTGTTCCAAATTGAACTGAGAACACATTTCAAGAAACAAAAATGGGTCTACTTTATTTGGCATCATCATCATGTGGCGGTAGGTATGGTGGGAAAAAAAGGCCCAAAAAGTCTTTTATCTGACAAGGATATAGACTTAATTTCATGAAATATAAAAATACAATTGCATTGTTTTATTAAACTAATATAGAGGAATAAATGGAGCAAAGATTTCAACCAAATTCATTGCAAAAATTGCAATTTTAACATGATGGCGAGCGCTCAAAGTTATAATCACAAGGGGTGCGATCGTGGTAGCCAGTGGATTAGGCTTCAAAAATACAACATATTACATATTATTTAACAGTATGTGGCTTTAGAGAACAATATGTGAGTGTAACTGTAAGAATAAGTATATGATGCTGAAATTGTAAGAATCAGTATGTAAACTGTTACTGTAATGGTTAGGTAAAACTGACCGTAACTGTTTTGAGTATATAAGATGGTAACTAGGGCTGAACCGAATATTCGCTTCGTATTCGCTTTGGGGCCGAATAGTGGACCTAATAACTATTTGGTATTCGGCCGAATACTTACGGTCAGGCCGAATACAAATAGTGGTAACCTCACACCCGTTACTGCATACACTGCGATAGACTGAAATAACTCTCTCATTAACACAAGTTTCTGATGCCCAAGTCTGTCGTAGCGGGTGAAACTGCGACCCGGTTACATGGTACAGCACTGGCAAGGTCTTTGCCCGCTGACTCGACCGAGGCATTACAGCAGATGTTCTCAAACTGGGTGCGTATGCCAGGGGTGCCGTGGCGAAAATAAAGAAAAGGTGGCTACAAATTGTGACATTATTAAAGAAGGCGGCATGAAGATACTTAGTTAAAATTTAAATCGTCTTTCCTCGCCACTGTCGAAAAGAGTTTCTTTTTTTTTTTCACACTCAAAGTGTATCATACTGCATAAAATGCCAACCGCATTGCGCTAAAAATTGTCTTTGTATTTATCTCGAGGTGCAACCAATCCTCCATCTGTATTCATGAAGGTTCAGCAGATAAGTAAGATTATGATAACATTTTGGCTGAAATTTTAAAGTGGAAAATGTGGTCTATACATTAGTAACTGTTAGCCTCGTCAAGTAAGCACTTATATTTAAAGGCAATGCGTTTTTTGTTGTTGCTGTTGTTGCTTGCGTGTGTGTGTGTATGAGTGTGTGAGAGAGAGAGATCATGCATTTTTCGTTCAGGATGTCTTCGCCCAAATCAAATTTGAAGATATTGCTAACGAGAATATGAAGGTGCGATTAAATTACATCGAGCGAGCGATGGTTTTGAAAGAGGCGGGAGCCCGAAGACAACTTATCACAGACATCAGAAGGAGACAGTCGTCATTTTTCGGTCATGTTATGAGAAGAGGGAAAATGGAACATGTGGTGACCATTGGAAAGATTTGTGGAAGGAGGGATAGAGGAAGACAAGAGAAAATTCTTGACAGTCTTGTTGCATGGCATGGAGGTGTGTCAGCACACAAACTAATACATGCTGCAGGAGATTGCAGATTGTGGCCAGGCATAATTGCCTACGCCAGTCGGCCAGGCACCTGATGATGATGATACACTATATTCGTATTCGGCCGAATAGTTGGTCCCACTATTCGTATTCGGCCGAATAGTGAAAATCATTATTCGGTACATCCCTAATTGTAACTGTAACATAAATGTTGTTGCATGCTGCACTTTGTTTTCTCTACTAGCAGACACAACACAGAATAAATTTCTGCACTGTACCTTGCCACCAGTTTCTTGCAAATGTTTCTTCAACAGATCCATTGTCTTTGGTGTGATCACATAGCCATCAGTTTTGTAGTTCTCGCCTGTAGAATTTTAAAAAATCATTATATGTAAATGCAACATCAAAGCATAAACAGAGAAAGTGTGTGCTGTTGTGGCATTAGAGTATCAATTCCCTCCCCCCCCCCCCCCTTTTCATATCCCAAAGGTGCACAGGCCATAAATCAACTCAAGAATCCAACATGGTTTTCACAATAATGAAGTCCAGAGACTACAAGCTTTCATTCAAGTCTGTAAAACAGTAAGTCATTGCTCAAGATCACAGCAGACAACCAACATCTAGGTTTAACTCTGCCCTCACCTTTTAGAGAGCTCAACAATTTTGTTGCAGAAAACAGCGGCGACAGCAGCTGAGCTGTTGCCAAGAAAAAGAATTTTTTTATAAAGACTATGGTCAAAATATTTGGTTGTACTTGTGTGTCTCATTTTCCTCTCGCTTTGCCGAATCGTGTGTCACAGTTGTTATTGTTCTAATTTACTTCCAAATGATTATGTCTGCCCATTAAATCAGAACCAAGTCACCAGCATCTACCAAGTCAACAGCAACCATCAGCTCTTCTTCGGGTCAATTCACCACTATCCTTCAATTCTTCCTAAAGTTACACAAAATGGATGCTAGGCACGGCCACTGTTTTGAGCTGTGGCAAATTTTTTGCTTCTGCCAGACGGTGGCTGTTGCATTTTTTCTCAATTTGTAGACTGAAAGGATATAGTTTTGTCACTCAGCTTCTGGGATGAGTGCATGGCGTGACACTGTAAGCTGCAGATTTCATTAGGAATGTTTTTCGACTGTGACCAATGTGATGGTGTGAATTGTAGATTCAGAAAATGGTGCGATGCCTGTTGTCACAATATTTGTGGTGCCATTATGTGATTAAAATTGATCGCGTGTGCTGATCTGTTGGTGACTTTTGGTACCATCCATGATGAACTGCATTTCTAACGTTGGACTGTTTTGTTTAGCACTTTGGATTGCTACCCTATGCTTTTAATGCGTGTGTATGCTAGATGTGCTGAGACAGCAGTCTGTCAATATTTCCACAAGGGACTGTGAAAAACATTTTGTGTGTTTTCTTTGACACAGGAGCGGAGTAACTATGGGGTGACCCATTTGCTATGAAGCTGAAACAAAGATTACCAGATTACACTATTTTTTTTTAAACAAGAAACAACCAGGCAACTTTTCTTTCACGTGGGTTCAAGGCTAACTAATTTAATATAAAAGTTGGTTGTGTATACTTTACAGGACGTTGCAGAACCAACACCCGCATTTTTAATGGCCATTGTGTTGTTTCTAGGTAACTTTTATGTTCAGTATTTTGCCACTGCTTGCTGAAAGGTCAGCTCTATGTACCACTGTTAAAACCAACGCAAGACAGTTTGCAGCCAAATGGCCTGCAGCTGGGATCAAACTCAACACCTTGGCATTACAAAGCACATTCACAACACCTAAGCCACTGAAACCGACAATATAAAGGACCCTTTTCCACACCTTCAGTGGCAAACCGAGCTAGACCTATATGTTATAGAACAATCTGCACTCCATGAATGATGTGGTCGACATCAGGCCGGCTGCCTTTACCTCCCATGTTTTTACCCGATACCCATTTAAGGCTGAGTCGATCGGGAAAGCAAGGTCATTTTTGAAGAAGAAGAAAGTCAGGCTCAGGACCTTCAGATACTCAGGTAAGCATCTAGCTGTTACCACAGCCACTCCCTACTTATATAATACAGTACTTGTTTTCTTTTTGTCTCTGAAGTGGTTTTTGCTGACAAAGATCAGTTTCATTTTTGTGCCAAGATATGCAAGTGTAAAAGAAAATAAACAAGCTGATAGGCTTGATGGTAAGCTTACAGTGGAGGGTAGATGAGCAATGGACTAGCCTGATCTACTGAATACCCTGTGAGAAGACATTTGCAAGAAACATGTGATAACTGTGAATCTGCAAACATGATCAGACTGCAAGAACAGCAAGTTAAAAGGTGTGAGGACAGACAAAGGTAATAAGCAGAAAGCCAAAGAAGAATAAACACAGAACTGGTGTTGCTAGCCACTACATGCTACGGCAGGGGAGCCAAGTACTTATGGACTAAATGATTTGATGTGCAATGGTGAAGATTTGTCCTTAACTATACAGTACTCATTTGCTCTATTCTGACAGCAAGTTCTTTTATTGCAATGACTATCTTTAAATAACAGTCTTAGTTGTTAATCTGATAGATTTTGTTAAAGTACTTAATTTATCTGGCCATTGCAAGTGAAAAGATACACTAATCAGTAATGTCTAAAATATAACTACGGCCCTAAATCAGCAAACCTGGTTTATGGAACTTCAAAGCATCTCCCATGATTTCAACAAAGCCTTTCAAGTGACCATCAGCTGCCACTACTGAAATTCGTGAAAAGAAAGAAGAAAAGACATCAGAGTTAATCGAGTAATACATTTTTTACAGGGACTTTAAAAAATAATACAAATAATATTGACCTTTCTGATTCAGTAGAGATCTAAGCTTGGTGAATTGTAGTTGCTTATCATTTTGTATTCCTCCCTTGGGTGAATAAGCATCTGTCAGTCTAATTAATTACTTCTGACGAGTCTGCTTCATAATATCAAAATCAAGGTTGACAAATTCCACCCCCCACTCTATATCGTGCACACACACATGTGTGTTAGTGTGTGCATGTGAGAAATAAAGAGAGTGTGTGTGTGTATCTCTTATGCATAATTTATCACAAAAGTGAAATAACCACTATGACAAAGGACAAAGGAGTTTTTTTTTACATAGGGTAAAAAAATAAAACAGGGGAAATGGCCAAGAGAAAGGCTAGATTTTTTTGTTTCCTATGGCCAAACATGTAAAAGAACACCTTATATGATGGTAGTTACTTGCAACTAAAAAAAAAAAACAGAACAACCACAAAACAGTCTTCTTCTGCATCTCATGTTGCCTTAAAATTATAAGATAGCAACAGCAACTGGTAATGATCCGTGGGATATATGCTAGACCTCCGCAGGTCAGATCTGGCTTCCGGGCCGCCAGTTGAATAGCCCTGATCTAATGCAACCAACATTATTTTGCTAACCTTATTTTATTCAAAAAACATTTTGTATGTTGTTTCTTCAACAGCTTTTTTAAGGATCTGTTTAACTGTTTCTGTATTACAATTAACTCAATCAGTGTTACTATTTTGCCTCGTTTTATTTGTAAAACTCCACGGCTGATATCAACCCTTGCAGTAATAAATGAGAAGCTTTAAGCCTCACAGTGAAGAACAATGATCTCTTATCTGGGAGACTTAAGTTCCAACCCTCAGCAGGGTGATGGATTTAAATTTCTGCCAGGGACTGTCTGCAGCGACTGCTCTAGCCATGTGGTACTAAATTCTCAGGTTCAACACCCCCCCCCTCCCCCACTAAAAAAGTGGTAGTCAAGACAGACATTAAAGTTTTTTTTTTAAATATAGGAAACATGAATTAAATAGCATAACCAATTAGCAAGAGCTTAACAACACGAATAAACAGTTTGATGGGCATGGAGAAAAATAATGTGGTTCTAATTACTGCCAGGCTCATTTCAAAACAGAATTTTCTGTCTGTTTCCTCTTCTTTTGATGTCTTTTTTCTCCAAATGCAGCATAGACTCCCATCAGCTGCTTTGTGTGATTTCATTTGTTGGATTTTGCAGCTGGCTTTTCTATGAGAAAAGGTAGTCAGTCTCACATCAACTTGAATCTACTAATTCACATTTACAATGTACTGAAGTACATTAGAGAAACTAACTTTTTCCTCTTAGTGTTCACCGGCTATATACTTCCCTGAGAGTTTCTGGTTGTTTGTCCAACTCTGGACTTTGGTCCTATTCCAGAAGCTGAGTTTTGCATGCACTTCCTTTTTTTTAACATATCTGGTTTATTTCTATGCAGACTGTTGATTCCCTCTGTTTGTTCTTAGGCAGATACATTTTGAAGGAAACCCCCTAATTAGTCACCTTACAAACTACTTAACCCCCCCCCCCCTCCGATGGGGCTCCAGAATAAAAATGGGCAGGAAAAACTAAAAAAAAAGCAAGATGCCAGTATCAGCAAACAATCACTACAACAAGAAAACCCTAGCACAACAACTTCTCTCCAAAATGAACAAGCTCACCATTGTCAATGCCTGCAGGTTTGACATCATTCACAGTGTTGTTAGTCGCCACGTCAGCAGCTTTACTTGGTTTTGCAGCCTAGGAAAACACAGAAATATGTTTAAACCTGTTACCTTAGTAACACTGAAAAAAAAAAAGGTCATAACTCAGTGGAAATTCCTGAAAAGATTATGAATATTTTTTTTTTCCACAGGTCACTAATACATTTTAAATGTTTATATCTCTCTTTAATAATTTTTTCTTCAAAATATATAAAAGGAGCAATCAAACATGAACACAGTGAAGCATTAAATGGAATATATATTCCCCTGGGGTCTATACAAATTATGTAACAGGTGTTTCCTTCCCAGACCCCATGACATCTATCATTAAGGCTACAGGGAATTTATAATGTCAATTTGGCTTTATAAAAGCCACCTCGTTCATAAGGAAACCCTCTTAACGCCATTTTAATTAAATTTTCTCATATCTTGACTTCCTAAACACTGTACAGTTGCGCACTCAGCCAACCATATTAACTATGCGTCTCATATATATTGAATGCAACCAGAAGCAGCAGTTTTGCTGTCTCTCTGAAAGATAGGGTTAAACTTTAAATGCTGTACACCCGACTACATCTGCCATCAAAGATAACTGCTACAGTGAAGGTCCTCACCTGCATAGGACTGCAAAAAACACCTAAATGGTGTAGCAGTTAAAGGTGGCACAATTATAACTTCTTTGGAGACTGAGCAGGGAATGTGATCTGCCCTGTTGATCTGCCATTGAGACTGAGATTTCTTTAAATCTCAGGGTGTTAAGTCTTCAGGCAGCAGTCCAGAAGGAATAAACCAATTGATCAAACTACTATATCTAAATTTGACATTTTATGACTAGGACATCATTCTTCTTCTTTTAAAACTACAGATATCAAATTGCTCTCCTGGTCACTTCAATCACAGACATATTCTGCTGCTGTTGATGGGAAAGTGGGCAAAGCATTTTATTTGCTTTGAATGTAATCTAGAATTGTTTCTGTGCCAACTGTTTCTTTTATGACTTCATTCCTGATTTAACCCATTCTGGTCGCTCCTGGAATATCACTTGTAGTTTTATTAGTTACGACATGAGTGGCATTAATTGTCCTAGCAGCCTAGGAAAACAACAAAAAATGCCCAAAGCTTAAATATCACAGAGTAACTACCACTGCCACATCTGGCATCTCATGAGTTAAGTACTCCGTGTCACTGCAGCATTTTAAACCAACATACCATCTGATAATAAAGTCATCAAGGAAAATGATTGCATACCTTCTGTTTCTGTGGCTTTTCAAGGTCTGCTTCAGTTTTAGGTCCCAATAAATCCAAGATCTTTTTTAAAATAAAAATAAAAAATTATTTCGAATCTTTAAATAATCTATTAAATATCACTTAATAATCATTTTTAATTAATCTGTGGGTTGTGGGGGTGTACATTTAATAAAGAACAAACTAAACTGAAATTGTAGGAAACTGCAAGCCAAGCTACACATAAAGGTGATTACATATTAGACAAAAATTGTTAAGATATTAGTTTTTCTCATGACAAATCAAACAGATTTCACTTATACTTGATCAACAAATATTAAGATGGGTGTTGTCAACTGTCTCCCTCCCTGCCACTGGCAACCTTGCAAAGTCTCTTCTCCATCTTGCAGTCAATGCAATTTAGTATTGGACATCTATCACACGTGCTACCAATCAATTTTTTATACATATGTCCCTCAATGCTACAGTGCCAAACCATTTAACAGCCACTCTCTTTGTCTCCTATTGCTTTTCGTCCCCTCTAACTTTCATCTGAGCATTCTCAAGCTGTTAACTTCTTGTGATGTGTCCAAAGAATACACCTCTTGACTTTAGTCTTGTCCAGAACCTGAGTATTGCAAGCACATCCGTTTTTTCAGATGCGACTTATTTGTGTGCATACTGTTAGTTCCTTGCTTCTCAGGCAGGTGCCTCCAAATTCACTGCACCGGTCATACAACCCTAAATCATCAGGCTCAAGACCTCTTTGTCCTGGACCACTCTAAAAAGTGTCCCTAAAGGTGGTGAAAAAAATTTATTTTTTATTTTAAGACATGTTAATTGAATAAATATTTTCATAAGGGATAATTTACCTGCATATCAAGTTCATGTTTCACTGCCTTTCCATCAGCCCACCTGACTTTATTCTTGATTTCTCCTAAAACAAACAAATAAAACAGTAAAGGACCCTTTTATACCAGTGGTACATTAAGCATAAGATGCTTGACATATTTTTTTTTATTAACCAATCAGAACAAAGTGGACGATGTGGTTAACATCATGTCCACATCTCTGTTTACAAGGGCATGACCTTTTACCCATTCCAAGCTGGGCCACCTCAAGGTCAATTTTGAAGGAAAAAATCAACCTCGATGAGGATTCAAACCTAAGTCTTCTGGGCCAGCACATGACTGTCTTGACACTAGATTACTGTGGCTCTAAAGAAAACAGTGCCAACTGATTATAATATATTTTTCTGGTAAAATCGAATAAAACAAACTGAAGATGTTTGGAAAGATATGAGCTCACAGAGAACTGACTGCCTGCAGCAAACTCAGACAATACAAATCCTTTGGGGATGTCAAGAGAAGGAAAAAATTAAGTATATCATGACTACATAACATAAATACTGCGGGGAAGAAAGGCAAAGAAAGACAACGAGAGAGAAAGAGAGAGAGAGAGAGAGATGACTTGGACAGTCTGGCATGTAAGAGCATCTATAAAGAAAGTTACTAGCAGCAGACATAACAGAAGGCTGCGCACTAACAATTTTACCAATGCCATATAGCATGCATGGACTCAGAGAGAGAAAAAAAAATGCTATGTGTAACCTTGAAAAGAATAACTAAATACACTGAGAAATGATTCATTATCAATGCTACGTATAAAGCAACAGGGAATTACTGTTATGGAAAAAAATTACCCTGTATGAGTTCTGGGCAACAATTAAAAATAGAATCTTTGCACAGTGTGTGTGGAAACCAGAATAGATGATGATTCTTCTTCTTCTCCACTTCTTCTTTTACCACTTTAGGTTTGCAGGCAGATATAAGGTTCTACTTCCTGCTCTTCTTACCACTATGACCACCGACACGCTGTAGTTTTCTTTTGTGTTATTATCTTTCCATTATGCTCCTGGTTTGAACATATTGTATGGTATGGCATCATAACTGTTTTTGTATGTAACTTAGCACTGGTTCGGTGATGACCTTTTCTCTTATGACTTTATTCCTTATTTGATCTGTTCTGGTCACCACTCCAGCCTTTCTCAGACCTCTTTTGTCCATGGTCAGGAACAGATGATCAACAGTAAAATTTGAATTCTACAGAACAGAGGTAAACTATTTCACTGTTTTAGGCAGTAATTTTACCTAGCATTGGTCCAGTGTTGTAGTGGTATCTCTTCTCCAGCAATTCAGATTTATGCTTCTTAATGACCTCCTCTACCTGGAAAGTTGTAAATGACAAAATAAATAAATCAAAATACCCACACACACACAAAGTCTCTCAAGCAATGTTGTTTAAACAGTAAAGAGCAAGTAGCAAAGAACTCTTTTTAATACATTAGCCCATCAAGCATATGGTGCAAACCACTATTGAATACTCCAGTGTTCTTCAACCTAATGTTTTTTTAAAATGTCTGTTGACCAGCAAAACAGGTCAAACTGTTTGGGGATCCTCTGACAGCTAACAGAAACAAGAACAATGTAGACAGCAGTTAATCTATCTGATGTCGTCTGCTGTGATGAGAGGTTAGAAAATCTGGTACATGTGGCTGGAGCATTGTTTGTGGAAGACAAAGCTCTGCAATAACATCCATTTGATTCCTCTGTTTGGTTTTTATTATTTTTATTACTGACAGGGCTGAGAAAGTCTTTTTATATAAACAGGAAGTTGACCAAATGACCAACATTCTGATAGATCTATAACTCAGAGGAACATTTTTTTCAGTGATATCCAAAATTGAGACTAGCAGCTGATTAGGCAGACATTTTTGGTGGACCACCTGAGCATTTCCGTGGACCACCTGGATATTTCCAGAGACCAATTAGCACTGGATAAGTGTTGAGGTACACATCATGCCAGTAGAAACAACTGCATGACATGATAATTATTAAACAAGATCAAGGTTTGGTGAGAAACATGTTTGGGTAAATAAAACTGTTGGTGGACCCAGACTAAAATGAGTATCAGGAAATATCCTGAGAATCAAAACAGACCAACAGGCTAATGAAGATATCAGCCATCAAGTCTTGATGCACATTTGGGCGCGCTGGGGTTTTATGTGCCGCCAGATATTGAGGGAAACCGCACTGGATGTCTGAATGACAGGTGTGTTGTGTTGGCAAAAAGTTAACCTGTGCCTTGGATTTTCTTAAACCCATCCTTCCACAGCTGAAAGCATACAGAGGTAGTTCTGCAGGGCTCCATTCTCATTAAATAACATCATTACCCTTCTCTCTTTGTGATCAAAGGCTTGGTGTTGATTCTAAAATTTCTCCAATGTTATCATTCTCAGTCGGTCTTTTGGTTACACCGATAGTTTTTCTGCATCTCACTTAACATGCTGTGATCTTCCTGTCTTGCGCTCTGGTTAATGACTAGGTGTGATACTGGTAACAAGCAGCTGGTAAATGTACTGCTGTCTTTTAGTGTCCATGCTACAGCGGCTGCTTGTCCAGACACCATGTGCTAATATGTTCATATTGTCTTCTTCTTCTTCACTGATCCTGTTCTTTTAGCATCTTCAAGTGATAAATATCCCTGCCTTTATCAGAGATAACATGTGTGTCTCATGATGAATAAGACCACTACCCTTACCCCTGAGCAATCTATACATCCAAAACCAAGACCATCCTCAAAAAAAAAAAAATGTATAATATGAATTGGCCAAAAACTCTATCAAATCAGCACAAATAAGAAAATTATTTTAACGTACAGCAGTTTCTATCTCTTCTGGTGTCACTACAACTCCAACTCCGCTGGCCTCCTCAAAAGCTTTGACATCAACATCAAATGCAGGATGATGAAGAATGTAATTCAGCGCAGCTAAGAGGAATACAGAAAGTGATTCATTAATGATTAAGTAACATTGCGAGTTTTTTCAAAAAGTATATTATACTTAAGACACTCATGTGTCTGGATGGGGGTAAAAACCATAATATGGGGCTTTGTGGAGGGGAAGAGAAGAGATAGTCCAAGATAGACCTGGATACAAACCTTGACAAACAGAGGTGGAGAGAAGCAATCAGACTGTGACCCAAACAATATGAGGTGTTATAGTTCTCTGATGATGACTAGAAGGTTTGGAAATGTCACCATGGCCTTGCTACTCATCAATGGGAAAACTTCCAATTAGTACTCACCTATCCTATAACTTAAACAACTGATAAAGACTGAAGACACAGTACAAAGATATGTGCATGCGAAAAGCAAGAGAAAACTACCATATTTTTCTTTAGCAACACACTCATTGTGACAAGCCATAAATGAGCTCCACAGACCTGATGGAAGGTCACTACCATCAACCTTCTCACTCTGACAACTGCAAGCCCTTTTAACCCTGCTGAGTATTCCGCAGTCATCGTCACCACTGGGCTAAGCAAGTTCCCAGCTGATCCTCACTCCTCCTGTGCTGAGTGCTTATCTACCCGCCAAGCACAAAAGACACGTCGGTGGTGAGGGTTATATTTTGTACATCTAAAAATATTCACCCTAGGAAGGTGGGTGGTTTGCCTGAGTGTTGAAAAATCGGACATACTATGGCGACGCCAAGAAATCTCACCTTTACAGAAAGGAATACTAGAAACTAGATTTAACTGCCCAGCTTCACTAGGGATAGTAAAAGACAATGTATCATCTGCTAAGTCTACTTCATCTTTGTCTCCACCTCTGCTGTAAATGCAGCAGAAACTCCATGGAGGAGTGAACACCACAGTAGCCATCTGACGCTGGAAGGAACATTCTTTGAATCTGTAGGCCTTCTTTACAGGAGGATCGTGTAAGACTATTTTTATTCTCCTGTCTTCTTCTTCACTGTTATCTCCACACAAACTTAACCAACGAAACTACCGCCCACTCACCTCCACTGGGGGTGGGGGTTAATGGGAAGGACTGTTCTAGGAGGTTCCTAGCACTCCACCCTTGGCTGTGACTCAGGGTTACAATCCAGACTGTTGGTAGTCACCAGCACAAAATGTGGATTGATGAAACTACCGTGGCTCCCACTTTAATACCAGTGGGGGGGGGGGGGGTGGGGGGGGGGGGGGGGGATAAAATCAAAATATGGATGAATAGCAGTCTTAGAGAGTATACATCGAGGGTGAAAGGTATGAGTTAGTTACTGTTCCTAAACTAGCAAGCCAGAAAGTTCCAACACACTGTGCTCACCATTTAGCTGGTCTTCCGTGGTAATTTTTCTGTTAGCAATGTACTTCACAATGAAATTCTGGTGGTGCTTGATCTGAGCTTTCAACTTTGTGGCCACACTGTAAAGCAACTTGCCCACCTCCTTGGTTCGGGCACTGGGTCCCCCATGCTCATCGGCCTGTTAAAAAAAAATCTTTCAGATACATGCCATACACACAAGCAAGCAACACCACAATGACTCGTTTTCAAATTGATTAAATGTAAACAAAGGACCCCTTTCAGGCCAGTGGTTAATTGGGCGTAAGTGGAAACTCCATAGGTTTGTTAGGTCAATCAACATTTGATGGGTGAAGTGATAAACATTAACTGAAGAAATTAGTAAGCCAGCAATTTCAACACAGTTCAAAATTTAGCTGCTCTTCTGTAGTAATTTTTCTATAGCAAAATACTTCACAATGAACTTATGGTGGTGCTAAGGAGAAAATCATATGTGTTTTTTTCTTCAGTCCAGCACAATGTGATGGTTAGATCACAGGCCACCTTTATTTTCCAGGACATTTCCTGACACCCATTTCAGGTTGGATCAACCTAGTAGCCAAGATCAATAATAAAAAAGATCTGCTTTGGTGTGGATTCAGCACCATCATACAGCACATTCCCCTGTAGAGCTTTGCCCCACTAGAAAGCCTCTTGGTACCCTGTCTTAAGATACTTGTAATATCCTTTGCTCACCTTTACGCCCTGCCTTTTCTTCAAGGAACCACACAGTATACACTGAGTTGGGGGTGTCTTAGGCAAATTGGTCAAGCTGTTTGCCTCACACTCTGAAGGTCGTGGACAATATAGGATAAAACCCAGTAGGCAGTGAAGTCATTCTTTTCATCTTCAACTGTTCTGTTAAAGGCAGTGCACTGCCAAATGTATCAGAAGCCTGATGGTTATGCATTACTGCCATTTTTATTTAGGCATAATATTAATATTTTTCAGTGCCTATGCATTAATTAGACATTTCGTGAGTGAGTACCGTCAGTACTGATACCTTTTTTTTCTGATGACACTATGAGATGTGTAAATAACACCTTTCTTTTAAAATATAAAAAATATCTGATCATTCTTAAGCCATAGTCATATAATTTCCAAGACACAATGCTGTTTTTTTTTTTTTTTTTTTTTTTTTTTTTATCTACAGGATATGTGTATTCTTAGGAAGGTTTCCAGTTTCAGTGAGTAGTTCAGTAGTGATACTTCTTCTTGTATCGTCTAAATTGAAAACAAAAATCCAAACATCAAATCAAACACTAAACTAAACAGTAACACCCGATGTTTGACTATTGTTTCTTCTTTTATGCTTGGAAATGATTCACAATAAATCTACATGCTGCTATGGGGAGGTTCGTGTCTGCAAAGGTTTACTATACCTAGAAGTCACAGAACACAAAAGAACACTGTATTTGATGAACATGTTCTGTTATGTCTTACACTGGGGTTACATCATTAGCTCCCTTCTCCCAGTGTTATGGATACCGGGTTCTTGAGTACGGCGTGGTCTGCTAGACTTGACTAGGAATTATTATTCTCCTAAATAAATTAAGTCTAAAATGTCAGAAACACTTACAACTCGTATTGCTTGTTTCAGATTTTCTGACAGCTGCTCATTTTTAAGAGTTTCTTTTGCTTTCTGCTCGGTTAAGCCAATGCTGACAAACAGTTCCACCGAAGCATCTGCCATCTTGACACGGAAGTAGTTTCCAGAATACTAAAAACTTTGCAGCAAGGAGATGTTAGGTGAAACGCACGTTACAGTGTCAATGCTATAAATAAAAGACCGCTTTAAAATAGCAATAACAATATTAATTAAATTCAATGGAGTTTGTTGCAACTCATCGACTCTTATTCTTCCTCTTCTTCGCGTTCACTGTTTGTAAACCCTGGCAGAAAAGTCTATTTATTCGGGACTTGTTCCAGAATCTGAGTGTTGTTTGCACATCTGTTTTACAGATCTAGCTTATTTCCATGCAAACCCTTGGTTCTTATCTCTCAGACAGATGCACTCTGATTTCGAAGAAAGTCCCCAATTAGTCTACTCCTACGATATGCTTGTAGGGGAGACAGTGGGTCTATTTTTGTTTTCCATACAGGGACCCGGAACCCATACGTTGGATTTTTTAATGGCGCAACTTCGTTGCTAAAGTAACAAGAGTATACTTCTTCTTCTTCTTTTTCTTCACTTCCTCTTTTACCGCTGTGGGTGTCGAGGGAGATATAAGGTTCTGTTTCTAGCTCTTCTGGCTGCCTCGACCATAGGCACATCGTGCTGTTGTAGAGTTTCTCTGATGTTATCCTTCCATCTTGTTCTTGGTCTACCCCGTGCTCTACGTCCTTCTTCTCTTCCCATGTATGCTTTGTATGGTATGGTGTCACAAGGCATTCTCTCTAAGTGGGCAAACCATTTCACTTGCTGTCTTTGTATGTAATCCAGAATTGGTTCTGCGCCGACTTGTTCTCTTATGATCTCATTTCTGATCTTATCTCTTATGGTCACTCCTACAGCCCTTCTCAGACATCTCATTTCCGTGGTTACTAATTTTCTTTTATGGTTTGTTGTGAGTGACCATGTCTGGCACTGGTAGCACAGAGTTGGAATAAATATGCTTTGAATAAGATGTCTCTTTGTGCTGATTGGGATTGTCTTATGCTGTAAGAGGGGGGCTAGCTGTCCCAATACTCGGTTTGCTTTACTGCATCTAATGTCAATTTCTTTATCCAATTTCCCATCTTCGGTAAATGTAGTTCCCAGATATTTAAACTCAGATGCCTGTTTAATGCCTTTGTATTCTATTGTTATGTTTAGATCTGTCTTCTTTTTTCCTATTGACATTACTTCTGTCTTTTCAGTGTTGATTCTCATATTATTTGTTTTACATTCTTCATTCATGGATGTTAGATGTTGTTGCAATTTCATGGCTGTATCTGCTATCAAGGCCTGGTCATCTGCAAAGAGTAATTCGTTGATCTTACTAAGATCTTCATTCATGGGCTTGGCATTCTTGCATATACTGTCGATGTAGGTGATAAACAGCAGTGGTGATAAGACACACCCCTGTCTTACTCCAGACGTCACTGTGAAAGGATGAGATGTTCCCTGATTTATTCTTACTACACTTCTACAATCCCTGTATAAACTTTTGCACACTTCGATGAGGTGTTCGCTTACTCCATATCTTGCCATTATTTTCCATAATAATTGTCTGTCGACTCTGTCAAATGCCTTCTCCTGGTCTACGAAAGCCACAAATAAGTTCTTATTGTATTCAATGTTCTTTTCTATTAACTGTTTAAGTGTGAAGATTGCATCTGTGCAGTTTCTATTTCTCCTAAATCCCATCTGTTCTTCTGCCAGCTGTGGTTCTATCACTGGTCTCAGTCTTGTTTCTATTATCTTGGCATACATTTTGCCAACATGGCTTAAAAGAGATATGCCTCGATATTGACCACATTCTCGTTTGCTTCCTTTGTTCTTCCACAATGGTATAACTATTGCATGTTGCCAATCAATAGGGGCCGTTTGTTGTACCCATGCTGCATTGAATATTCTGTGAAGCCATCTGATGCTGCTTTCACCTGCTGCTTGAATTATTTCTGTTGGTAATCTATCAGCTCCTGGTGCTTTATATTTGGGAGACTGTTTAATGACTTTTTCTATTTCATCCATTAGTATGTGTGGTTCTAACACTGTTGCTCTGTGCTCTTCAGTTGTTCTTTCCTGCTGATCTCCTAGAGGATTAAAGAGCTCATTGAAGTATTCCCTCCATCTTTCTGCAATCTCGGGTGGATCTATCAATGGCCTTCCTGTCTTATCATTAATTATTTCAGTGGGGTTGTAGCTCTCATCTCTTTTCCGCATATTTTTAACCACTTTGAAAAATTTTCTGCTGGCTGTTTTCTCATTTTCTGCTAGTGACTCACCGAAACGTTCCCAGGATGCTTGTTTTGCTTTCTTGACACTCCTGTTGGTTTCTCTTCTTTGCAGTCTATAGTTTATATAATCTTCTTCTTTCTTTGATTTTATCCACTGTTTATATAAGTCTTTTTTCTTTTTAATTGCTTCTTTTACTTCTTCGCACCACCAAGGTGAATATTTGTTATTTCCCCGTCTGTTTCCACTCTTCCGTTTTCCACATAATTCTTCTGCAATACTAAGCATAGTGTTTTTATATATATACTCCATTCTTTCTCAATATTGCCAACTACATGTGGAAGTTGTTTGAATGCTGTCTCTACTTTCTGTTGTAACTGTTCTTTTACTCCTTCCTGTTTCAGATTTGCTATCTTGATGAGATCCTTGTTTTTGTTTAATTTCTTTCTGTGTTTCTTTAATGTAAGATGTTTTGCTGTTAACACAACTATTTTATGGTCAGTGTCACATAGACCATTAGGGATTGCTCTTGAATCAAGAATTCTCCTTCTTCCTTGAACTCTGGTAAGTATAAAGTCAATCTGGCTCTTGATGGAGATATCATTCCATTTGTACCAAGTGTAAAGTTGTGAATCTCTATGGTCAAAGAATGTGTTCGTAATAAAAAGATTGTGCTGGCTGCATAGATCCAATATTCTTTGACCATTTCCATTTCTAGCACTGTTCTTAGCTGCATATGGACCTAAAAATTGTTCGTATTCTCTTCTGTTATTACCTACCCTCCCGTTGAAGTCACCCATTACATATAGTATGCTGTTTCCCTCAACTTTCTTTATCTCATCAGACAGATCGTCAAAGAATTCATCTTTCTGCTCTTCTGTATAATTATCATTGCATGGTGCATATATCTGTATATATGTTTCAGCTTGTTCTCCTCTTTTAATTTTCAAAGTAATAATTCTATCTGAGTGATAATGTATGTCTAATATGTAGTTAGATATGTCTGGATGTACCAGGAAACCCACTCCATTCTTCGATGTTTCTCCTCCTGCATATGTTAGTAAGTAGCCTCTGTGTATTTTCTTATTAATATTTCCCTTGCGTCTTATGTCAGCTAGCCCCATTAACTTGATTTTCCTTTTTTCCATAATTTCAATAATCTCTTCTGTTTTATTTCCCAGGCCAGAGGTGTTAAGTGTTGCAATCTTGTATTTCGCTGTTCTGTCTCGTAGTCCCTTAACATTGCCATGGTCAGATACCGTTTGATCAGTCCGTTTATATCTCATTTTGATTTTTGTAGCGGTAAAAAATCCATTGCCGGCTTGCTAGGCCTGTCGCAACTTCACCAGAGCCCCGTTGGCCAGGACGTTTCGGGGTGACCCAGGGTGGCCTTCATGGCTACCGTAGCGGTCCCGTGGCACGAGGCCACACCATACTTCGCCCACACCTAGAAATCCCCTACTTTGTCCTGTTACCACCTCTCACGACGAGGACGTGGGGTTGGTCTTTGAGAGGCACAAGAGTATACTGAATTATAAAATGTGACCTGGATTAACACTTAAGATTGACGCGATTCCCCTTGTATTATATGCGTTTTATATTTCAGTTGTCCACTACGCAGATGTCCGAGGTCTGGCGTCAGGACCCAGGTTGGCCCACCCTCCGAGATTGTATAGGAGGATAATGGGACGAAACCTCTGTCGACTAGAGACCTTTCTACTGATGATCGGTGGACTCCTGCTGTGTATGCTCCCGCTGTGGAGTTCTTATTATTATTGTATTTATATATTTCTACCGCATCAAGTTGGTGTGGGAGCACAGACTAATCCAACAAAGGCGACTGCTATATATAATTGGATGGCAATGAGATTGCTAAAAACGATCTTTTAAAATACTTAAGAATACAGTTTGATCGATGTTTGAGTTAGAATTCCCATGTTGATAACGTAATCATCAAGGCTAGAAAAAGCTTAGCGGCATTACAGGTCATGGCCGCCATGTGTTGTCGGCAAAATCTCCTCATCATCGTCTATCAAGGATTAATCCTCTCTGTTATGTAATATGCAATGCTGATCCTCACACTTAGTTTAACGCAAGCAAAAAGGTTTGAAAAAAAAAATCAAAATGAAGCAATGCACATTATACTTGACCTCACCAAGGGTACAGCATGCAAAGCAATGAGACTCTGACTTGATTTCCCAGACATTACCAGCAGGTTAGTTTACGAAGGGCACAAGCATATCTAAAAATTACCGAAGCTCGTATACATCTTTTACACACAGAACTTAAGGGGGAAAAAACACAGAAAGGACACAGATTTAAACGAGGACAATCATGGCTGGGCCGAGCAGAGAAGTCATAAAAACAGTAAATAATATCAAAGACATTCAACCAGGAGAAGAATTGATGCCTATACCTATATCGGCAATTGATTAAGGTGATCAATAATTTTGACAGAAAATGTCCTGACTTACCTCCTGCAATCGTTGATTTCAGAGGTCGAAGCGCAGATATATGAGAACACACTCGAAGGTGATGCTATTATATATACAGATGGCTCTATAATTCGTCACAAACAAAGTGCTAGGGCGTTTACGGTAAGAACAAAAGGAAAAACCATTAAAGAAGCCCGCGGGGTCTTTGCTGCAACCACCAGCAGCGTGACAATGGAAACCATGGCTGTCGCGAAGACCCTAGAATGGCTACAGACACAGGTATTCGCAGACGCAACATTTTTGAGTGATTCTGAGAGCATAATAAAAAGATCAAAGCCAGATCCATGCAAAGAGAATGGTACAATTCATTACAAAAAG